GAAAATCAACCATTGATCTATAACAATCATTAGCGTTATTGACTCCGATATCTTTATGGAATAAATGCTGTGCTACTTTATCTTTAAAAGAATTTAGTCTCCTAGCAGTGACTGGTCTACACCTGATCTTAATTTCACTTGTAGTAATGTTTTCATTTATTGAAAATTTTAAACCAACATGATCAGAGCTCAGATAATTTATAATAGATTTGTCATATACTTCATTGTGACAGAAAACGTTATCGATACAGGTTAGGAATATAAATTTGGTTAGGCTAGGATATTCGGATATTATTTTGGTTTGTGGTTTGGAAATTATGTTAGTTTTTTATCACTGACTCACAAATCGTATCTGATATTTTTTTTTTGTAATTAAGATACTTATTTTGTAGTATTTTTCAAAGAATTGAATTTACCTTTTAGTATTTATTACGCACCGGAGAGGTTCCGATCACATTCCTAAACAAGCATTGGATTAGAATCCTCAAGGAAAAAGAAGGCGTGGCCGTCCCAGGCAAACCTGGCGTCGCACCGTATTGGCAGAAGCAGCGAGCATCGGACTGACATGGAGCGAGGTGAAGCGTGAAGCGCAAGATCATTCGCGATGGCGATCTACTGTGGATGCCCTTTGCCCCCGCTAGGGGACATAGGATTTTAAGCATTTATTACAAAAATGCCTCGATAGAATTAAAAAGAATGAGAACGATTTAATCTTAACAATCTAATGAAAACCAAACACGACTTAGTCCTGATACCCATTTCGCCATAAACACCATTCATTATCTCACACATTGGAGTCAGTTATAGGTTACTTTAATGTCTATAGACATTAAAGTAAAGTAAAAAAGTAAACTGAGAGTGAACTTTGACTGAGCACCTGTAGAGGCCGTTGACAAAACACTACAGTACATACACTGAGATGAAAGGCCAGTGGGGAACGTCAAAGTTGTTTTCTCTAGAGATTTTCGAAACCCTTCCTCTCATTACTCAGGGGACTAAAGCGAAGAAATAAATGGCTCAAGAAGCGTTCTTATCTCAGGTCTCAAAAGCATAAGTTGCGGTTGTACAGTTAACGTGCGGACTCCGTTTACATGCCCAAAAATTTTGCGATGTTCTGATTCAGAGAAAAATGGGCAGATGTGTCTACCAAACATACTTAGTACAGTCATTTTCTCCGAAAACAAAAGTTCAGTATTTGGAGAACTTTCAAGTTGAACACTTGAAAGTTCTCCAAATACTGAACTTAAAGCCTAGACATAACCGAGAATTTTTCTGATGATATCAGGATAATTCTTGGTTATGTGTGTATTACGCTCACTGCAAGCAATGATTAATCCACAAATTAGCCGGTTGAGTCTTTAAGTTCGCTTACTGCAAGTGGCCTTTCTGCATATAAAATCCCGCGCAATGTCCGTGTAAAATTGTGCAATGGCGGATTCCATTTTCAACTTCATATAAACTTAATTTCATATAAACGTAACTTCTCTACAAAGGCACATAATCCAAGCTGAGATCGTCACTGGGTGTGGCTCAGACAAAATGTTGGTTATTTCGCGAATACAACTCGCTTGATAACTGACCATGGCGCAATTGTCAGGGCATTGCCTTCGGCGTGGGTTCGATTCTCACACAGGGCAATTATTTTTGTTACCCATAGTAATTGTGTCCTGGAAGGCAAAACTATGAATGTGGTATTTAAAGTGATATTTTATTGTACACTAGCTTTTCGCCCGCGGTTCAAGCCGTCTGTACCACATTTTATATCGTGCCTAAGAGTAGCCTTCCTCATTAAATTGGCTATCTACCCGTGCAAGAATTTTTCTAATCGGACCATTAGTCGCTGAGATTAGCAAGCTCAAACAAAAAGACAGATGCTAGCAGGACTACTAGCATATTTTTGATACATGTCTCTCATAAACTGTGATGATTTAAACAGTTGAAATTTTCACAGATGCTGTGAAAATTTCTGTTTGATTCAAAATTTGATTTCTGTTGACGTTACAACAACAAATATTTTTTTTTAAGTGAGGCTCTCATACAACAGACATAATTCTATTGCCTTTTTTATAGATTATGGTATGGAACCCTTCGTGCACGATTGCGACTCGCACATGGCTGGTTTTTAAATTTATATAATCTAACAATCATCATAATTTTACAGACCATAATATAATTATAGTTAACTATAGGTTCATCCAATTCAGCTGTAGCAATTACTTTTTTTTAAGTTGATATAACGTTTTTATTTATGAACCGATTTGAATAAAACTAACACTAAATATTAAGTGACGTACTACATATGCATCCGTGAAAGTTGCACCCAAACCGGTTAAGCCGTTTCTGAGATTAATGCGACAACAATTTTAACAACCATTGTTTTGGGTTCTATTGCGTTGATAAAGGGGATCTTTTATAATAGTTTTTCTCAAACGTCTTCCATGTACATACAAAGACAAGTTACATTTTAATTATATGTATAGATATTTGTCCCTTCCCCCTATTCCACGCGGACGTAGTCGCAGGCAACAGCTAGTACAATATAATAGTCTATTTTGTGACTAATGACGGCGCAAAAAGACAATAGAAGTAACTTTACAACGCTTTTGTGTTTATTTAAATGGTGGCTACAAGCGCATTTCTTACCCAATTAGAGTCTTGCCGTAGTGAAATTTGATTGGGCTTATTAAATATAATAAATATTTTACATAAATCAATATTGGGATAAAAATATCATAAAAAATAAACGCAACAAAACTGGCAGTGCGAATAATAATTTTCTGACAAGTTTGTCATTAACAGGCCTTTAATTACGTAGAAAGTCGGTGAAAGATTATACTTTATCTTTACTTAGCTAAGTTATTTAAAAATGAATTCATTGAAATTTTGAGGAACTAGAAATATTACATAGCTTTTACTTTAAAAAGAGCTCCGGTGTGATGTTTCAAAGGCTTGTAATTACTTCAACGTTGTTCACAAAGAGCTTTCAAAAGGCGCTCAAACAGTAAAATGTACGCTATCCTATAGCTGAGATATAATGAGTAACGGAATTTAAAAATCTTTTTATGATTAAAACCGGTACTCAATATTATAAGTAATAGAACAGTGTCTGATTATATTTTGCAGAAAATGTAATCTTCATCTCATAACTTTGTCATGCATACAAATTACTTAAAATCTTAGATTTTGTGTTTAAAGCGAATACATGAACTTAAATGAATTTTAATTAATCGATGTAAAATAAATATTTTTTACTACACAACATTAACTTACATTGAGGTTTTTGTACATGGTTTCTTAACCTTTCTTGCCTTGAATAGGTATCAATAACTAAATATTATTAGTAGCCCTTATTAAATAAAACTTTAGTTTTGGTTACTGTCTATAATAATAATTTAGTTAAAGCTGCAGTCTATGGTTGAATAAAAAATATTTAAACATAATAAAATCAAGTGTAAAGTATGTGTCCACTTTTATTCTATTATAGTTCGTATTCATTCGTTGCCTCTTTAATGCACCTGACATGTTCAATTAGCTTAATTATTTTATTCTTATTCTTGTAGGCAGGCATATGCTTGACAATGTGTTTCGAAGGAAAACATTTTTCCGTTTGCTTAATATGCAAAAATCGACACCTTTAAACGTAATAAAAATATCATCACTACTTTCCTATATCTTAAGTTCTAATTTCAAATATCTAGTATTTGGACAAAGTTCGCGAGAAGCGTCCTCACAACAATGTCGGCCTTCACCAGGATAACGCGACCCCACATTCCGCTAAGATAACGAAAGCCTATTCGGAGACCTCAAATGTGAAATTGGTGCCGCATCCGCCATAAATCCTTGACCTCGCACTTTGCGACTACTTTTTATTTCCAAAAAGTAAAGAAAAGCTTAGAGGTTTACATTTTATCAGCCCTGAAGCGATGAAAGAGTGGCATGAAGCTATAGAAGAGGTTCCCACTTAAGACTGCATGGTGGATCTATTCTTGCATCACACAATGGTTCCAACGGACGTATCATCATCATCATAATCATTTCAGCCTCCTTGAAGTCCACTGCTGAACATAGGCCTCCCCCATAGACTGCCCCGAAGCACGATCCTGAGCCACCTGCATCCATCGACTTCCCGCACATTTGCACAGGTCGTCACTTCATCTAGTGGAACGACTCTAACGAACGTATAAAATGTCGCATTCAAATTTATAGAAAAATAATCGTAAAGTGTTTTCGATTCATAATAAGTTTCCTAAATTTATCACGAATTAAATTGTATTTCCCTGTATCGACCCGCGGAAATGTACCAAGTCGGAATCCAAATGAACATGAACTTAAGACGTTATACGCTATGCATAGTGCCCTTGAGTTTTAAAACTTTTCAACAACGCGGTCTGTAATGCATTACAATGGGTACTGTTTTCGCGTCATTTGACGTCTCTGGCCCATCAGGAATAGTTCAAGTGAAATGTAAGTGATTTTTATGTATGTAGTTCTTCTGTGTGTGTGTGTGTGTATGTGACTGAACTGCTCCTAAACGGCTGGACAGTTTTTGATGATTTTTTTTGTGTGTGTTCCAGTGGATCGAGAACGGTTTAGATTCTTCGGTCCACTACAAAATGTTTTTAATAAATTATATATTAAGAATTTGTTGGCGGATTTAAGACACGCTATACACTATACTAATTTTGCTTAAGTCTCGGTAAATGTGATTGATTTAAAAAATTTATTGAGCCTAATGCGAACTATATTAATTTAGTTGTCTATGTTAATGATTAACAAACTTATTTTGGTCACCTATTCACTACCAAATCCAAACTTAATTATGAACCCCCAAGCAAAGCGTATAAACCTTTATGTTACCGTTTGCTACCAACTTATGTGCTACCATAACCTTCAGATGTATTTAAGCAATTATTCGGCTTAATCGAGTTTTATTTCTTGTAAAATATTGTCTTATAATTGCCCCTGTGCTAAAGGGGTTTGTGGTAACGAAAAGAACTTACCTTAGCAATCTTGTGCAGTAGTGCCGTAGTGGAGCTGGTCTTGAACAGGCCAAGTGCCCGCCTACGGAGCCCTTGACCGAGGCAAGCTTCCACCGCACCGCATAGCGCTGTGACTCCGCCACTCTCCTCGTGAACGAACTTGCGAGTGACCGCCTAAAAAGTGGTCGATGTTACCAATGATCCATGCTAATGACGCCTTGAATTTACCATAATAATGTAAATATTAACATTTTGCTGCTAATAAAAAATCAAATTAAATAGTTTCATTTACAACAAACCGAGCCATAATAAGAGCCACGTGCAGTACACGGCACTCGCAAGCGAAAATTTTGAGGTATCTTACAAAAATCGATATTATGAACACGCGGTGAATTTTTTTTTTTTTCAAATTATGAAAAAAAATTAGATTAGGTTAGAAATTTGAAAAAAATAACTAACCTAATCTAACCTAACTTGAACTTTATGTTGGAATTAATAATCAACAATATCAGAATAGTCTTCTTCATACACGACTATACCGATAATTATAAGGTATTTATGTATGTATGTCTCTGGATTGCGGATTCTAAAATTGAGAATATAGGAACTACTTGAATGGAAATGTTTTATGAGAGTTTCAAACGGGTTCCCGGTGACAGGATTGCTGATACACTGAGAGAGGACGACCCCAAAGAAACCCGTAACTGGTGTTCAGTATGTGGGAGAAGAGTTGACAAGGCACAGAGGGAGTCTTGGAAAGTGGGACCCCGTAATATTTGCCCAATCTGTATGCTACGTAATTGTAAAGCTAATTCTTTTTTAACTGAAATGTTGCCAAGGGAGCAGGTGGTTCACCTGACGTTAAGTGAATACCGTCGCCCATGGACATCTGCGACACTCTAGGGTTGCAGATGCGTTGACATCCTTTTTAAAATTGGGCTCCGGCTACCTCACTCACCAGACGAAACGCGAATGTATTATACTTCCACTTTACGCCGGTCTTCTGTGATGTAATTAAAATGTTCTTTTCACAAACCTCTTCCATTAACTGCTTAACTTCCTTCTTCACGGCTGCAATGAGGCGATCCTTCTGCTCGGTGCCGGGGTCGGTCGCGTTCGCAGCCGGCATTTCCTCCGATTCACTTTCAACTGCAAAAAATAACAATCAACCTTAACCACAGGGAGAGATACGAGAAATAAAAGCCAAGGGCAGCATTTATTAATTCTAACCAGCTAATAACGGAAATAGGCTTATTAGGCCTGCCTACAAACTAACCCTTTATGGGACAGCAAATATTGTCCTCGTTTCACCCACATTCTGAAAAGTCATGAATTTAAAATTAAATAGAACGCAACTTACGCCCGGTTTCTGAAACACTGATCAACAGTTGGTTAGTTGACTTCTACGATGTTGGAATGATGAATTTTTAAGAATTGGATTAAACAATTAGACGAGTAAAATACAGACGATGCTTTCTCTATATAGCATAATTTATTTTACGACATCACGAGGCATTAGACTCGGGACACTAGAATTTACTCTCCAAACTTAAAGCTAAGAGCAAAGTCAGCCAGCACTTTCATATAAACTAGAAATAACTGGACGTGCATTCTTTCGAAAAAAATATAGGAGTAAAAGGATCAAAAACAAAAAAAAATAGAGAAAAACCTTGATAGAGTGCCCTCTCTAGTAATAATCTATAGATACTTTAATATAATAAAGTTAAAGAGTTTGCTTGTTAGAACGCGTTAATCTCTGGAACTACCACCAGTCGCATTTGAAAAAATCTTTGCATTTGATAGCCAAATTCTTATAGGGTACTACGAGCTACGAGGCAGAACGTTTCTCGCGATGAAATCGCATGAAACAGCAAGTAATTAATAATTATGACGATAATCTATGGTCTATCGATCTATATTCAAATATTTCAATTTAGATCGTGTTTGCAAAATTGTTGTGTATCAATATTATGCATGGCCTAGTCTCCTAATCATTGAATTACGTCAGTTGAAAAGCGACTTACGCCAAATTTACCGTCATATTCGAATTATATTTTTCATTCCCTGAAAAATCAAATTGTTTTTTTTAAATGATTTGAAATCAAAAGGACATTTTCTAAAAATGAAACCTAGCTAGATCGATTTTTCGCCCGCGAATCTATGCACATACTAAACATACTAAATTTCATGAAAATCGCTGGAGCCGTTTCCGAGATTCCGATTATATATATGTATACAAGAATTGCTCGTTTAAAGGATAAAATAAGATTGATTTCAAATCATTTAAAAAAACAATTTGATTTGAAATCAAAGTGTTAGACCATTCTTTCGGCAACACAAATGACATTTAACAAGCCATTTGACAACTGATTAGTTAATTTCTACGTTGTTCACGCCCGGTTTCTGAACAACTGATCATCGTAGAAGTCAACTAATCAGCTCTCAAATGGCTTTTCAAATGTTTCTTGAGTTGCCAAAATAATTGTTAAACTCTCTGAATTGATCGTTCTAATCATTAAGAAGATAATTATGATCAATTAGATCAGATTTGAAAAGCCATTTGACAGCTGATTACTTGACTTAAGCGATGATTAGTGTTGCAGAAACCGGGCGTTAAGAGTTTAATTTTTAAGCTCAAATCCATTTACGTATCTCGTGCTTTTCATAGAATAGGAAAGAATCAAAGTATTGATGTTATTTTTGACAATAATATAACACTAGTATGTCTTTCTGTAAGTTCTCCCTCTTCTTTTAAATAATAGTAACAAAAAATAGTACTCATAGACTAAGCCGCTTTGTTCTTTTGGATAATGTATACAGAGAACATACAAATTACTACTTTGTGCTTTTATTAACTGTTGACCCAAAATCCATAACGAATATACGAAAACTTCCATCCATACGAACATAAGAAAACTTCCAAACACGGGTCGCGTAACCAAAGTCCGTTCTATTTGTCAGCGTTAGTGAAGGTACTATCAAGTTATGACACCATTAACCTCGTTATTGTGACACGTTACAGATTAGGCGCAGGAACGTGAAAGCATAATATAAATAACAGCGTTTTATGTTACACAAATACAAACCTAAACAAGTATTTACACCTCCCGTACATTCCGTTACCGCTGGAATGCAAATACTTTGTTAAAACAAAAACAGTTGAAACAGATCAAAGAAAACTCTACGACCTCGACATAATTTTAGTCTTTACAGCATCACTCGGAACTTCATATTATTTTTATATAAAAATAATTTTGCTTCCGCATGTTTGTATCCACAGTACTCAAAAATTATCAAACGAATCGCCTTGATATTTTTCCGCAAAGGAGCTATTAAACAGGAGGGTGTTTTATATACATTTTATGCCGAAGTTCCAACAGAAACGAAAAAACCACAAAGAAGCGGGGTCGGGTTCCGCTAGTATTTATAATATAATACAATACATAGTATAATTATAACGTTTTTATTGAAGAAAGTGCCAAGCAGACGTTTCACTTGACCGTAAGTGATACCTGTAAGTGATACTCAGGGATACCCGTGGAGTTACAGTTTCATTGCCCTTATATATTTATTTATTTATTTATTTACCCTTTATGCACAAATAGTACAATGGCGGACTTAATGCTAAAAGCATTATCTCCCAGTCAACCTTGGGGTGGTACAGAGAAAATTAGGTAGGTGCACAGAGAGATTTCCAACAAGGAAAACGCTAATATTTACAAACTATGTAATGTATATGCATATGTTAAATACAGTACTAAATTATATACAACATAAGAAATATACTACAAAATATACGTAATACATACTCACATACATAAATATATACATATATATAACTACATATACATACTCATATATACATACATATAAATATACTTTAAACAAAACGATGGAATTGATCTACCGAGAAAAGTTTTTGAAAATATGCTCACGAGCTTTGTTTTTAAATACAAGAGCGACTTTTAGCCAACTTAAGCCAACGACTTAGGCGTATACTTCTACTTTTTGCTGGTTTTTCATAAGACCGCGGTATTTCCCCCCGACTTTAATATAATAACAAAAACCTGTAAAACCACCAAAAATATTGTTTTATGTGATAATTATATTTACAAATTATTTTAGTAAGCATAATATAGTGATAACCCTCTTAAAGACCGATAGAATGCGAAGCTTTTCTTCAAATACTTGTGATAAATGCTTCAAAAGCTTCAAATACTTATGGTGATAAATGAACTTCCAAAACTTTTAATATATTGACAAATAATTTTGAGAATTTAAGTAATTATTACCTTAGAAATAACCGGCTACAGATGCTTTTTTAATTTCAACTTCTATTGATTTACGTAAAGGGAGCACACGAGCTTTTACTGCAATCGGAAAACTGTTGAGAGATTTTATATTTCTGGATAAACAAACACAATTTTGATCTAGCTAAATAGTAAGAGGTAACGAAAATACAAATGGTTATGCATTTTAAGAGGCGAATCTGAGTCTGGAAAGTAAAAATAATTCACTCAGCTCCAGCTACCATCGAAACCTGAATCAAAAATGTAGTGATTATATTCTCCTTGTCCAGAACTTGACTTCTGTCACATACTTTTGTTTATTAGATTGTAAAAGACCGTAAGTTTATGCACTGCGTTCTAAAATGTAGAATTAATATCGGTTAAAAATCACCACATTAATTAAAACATTTGCTAAAGACATCTAAACGAACTATTTTAATTAGTCTCGAGTCTCTCGCCAGAAAACGTTTATCTGTCCATCCTAAAAATGTCGATTTCGTATTTATTGTTCCATTACGTGATCTGTTATATCTAAAATAATAAGTATTGTAGTTTGGTTAATTATTGGTTTTTGGAATAGAATTTATAATATTAACTTAACTATCAATCTTATTCAAAAACCATCATTCCAATTATTTCATTGGATTATTATATAATTTTTGGCTACACATTACATATTTTTAGCATTAGTTTAGTCTGTAATGATTAAATATCGTGCGTGTGTTTAATATATAATTTTTTAAGTAGCCATTATTAATTTTTATTTTCTATTACTGCTAATTAATAGGTAAATAGAAACAAATTAAAGTAAGAGCCTGCATATATGTCAACTTAGTGCGGATTGACGGACTCATGAATATAAAACTTCATACTTAGAAATATGTTTTAAAATGGCAAAAACAATTTCATTGGTGCCGACGTCGGGATTGAACTCAGATTGCTTCAGTACGCTAAATTAATTATGAGCACCCGGACAGTAAGCTATCAAGCAAGGCTTATGAAATAAAGCAGTTTTAAAAGGAGGTCGTGTTCTGGGAAGATTATGTAAAATGAGATATCTACCTATTATGTAATGCAAATGTCTTTCCTTATAGAAGAAAAAAACGCTACTTATAAGTAGTTTGTCGTTTTAAAGTCAACGAATTGAAGGCCTCTTGAATATATTGTTAAGCGATAAGTGCACTAAGCGTCTACAAAAATTTCTGTTAATAGTTTTTTTTGTAGACATGTAAGACAGTCAATATGCTTTATTATCAATGAGTATGCTTTTCTTTTATTGAACACTCATTACGAAGTAAAAAGAATCCAAAAGGCTTAGTATAATGTTAACGTCAAGATGAGATTAATATAAGAAAAATATAAGCCATCTGGGAACATAACAATGAAATTTTGTTTAAAGCGAACGAGGAATAATGGCTGCCAATCATGGCGATTAAAAAAGTTTTCCATTAATGAAGAAGAAGAAAGTAATTCACGTCGCGTCCTCACAAGGAAATCCGAGAAGTGCCGTCGGATCAGGGATTGAGAAACAGTACTCAGAGAATTTAATAGAAAATAGAAACTTTGTAGGGTCACATTTTTCCGTTCCACTCGCCGTTCGCCTCTTTCGGTTGGAATGATTTAGACTAGTCCTTTGTTATCCAAGTTAATTCACGTATGTTTTATTTATTATTTCTTTTTTGTTTCTTGTGTTTGTGGTGTTCTCCTGTAAATGTTCGTCACATATGTAACTAAATATGATTTAAGTCTCATCTTTTTAATGTTTAGTAATGATATGTGAACGAACGTTGGTGAGCCTGTTGAATAAATAAATAAATGATAAATAAATAAATGTAAATACTTTATCACGCTTTTTTTCGTTTTCTTTTAGTAATCAGTGAAATAGATCGAAATACTTAAGAGACTTGTTAAAATATGATGAATGCGAAGAACACAGTTCCGTTAAGCTTCGCTCACAAAGACCAATAATACTTTTGGAAAACTCAGACATATTAGGGTCAACTCTTTTGGCATTTATTTTCTAGCAATACGAATTCCGGCCTCGTTAGAAAAGTAAATAATCGAATATGTGATATTACTTCCTTACTTATATACATGCGAGATATTTCCCTGTCATTATTATAATGACATAAGATATGATCTTTTCCTCGTTTAAAAACAGAATTCTTTAATGATAATGTAAGTATTTTTTGTTCCGGTAACTCACACGAAAGGTTTTCGTTCGTCTTTTTTTAATATGGGCAAAAAGCACTAATAATTCGTACTAAAAATGTACAAAGTAAAATATTAACAGGAGCAATTTAAACCCAAACATAATCGGCTTACCACATTTCACGTTGGAAATTATTTACGCTATTTGATACATGGATATCATAGGATGTCGTACCCAACTAGGATAGTTAGATACATTGAAAATAAATATTTTATACCGTTATTAGATCTCATATGAGGTCATTATAAATCTCCCCGTTTGAATTTTTATTATTTACTTATGATGATGATTTATTCCTGCTGCCAAGATTTGTGTTAATGCATTTTTATTTAATAAATAAAAAAACCTGTGGTACTCGGGGACTGCCGCGGTAAAGTTATTGCATAATAATTATTTATTTTTTATTTATGCAGTATTTTTTTTTGGATATTTATATTCAGATTAATAAATAATAATATTTTTAATAAAATAATTATTAATATATATTATAACTAATTCTATATACCTAATTTATCTATATTATGTACAAAAATGATAAGAACTACTAAGTCAATCACAAAGCTGTTTGGAACACTTATTGTGTCATAACTAAGTGAGACATATGCTGTCGGGACACTTTTTGTAAACAATAATTTATTCTGCAAATTCGTAAAACATTATTTTATTCTATTATCAATACTTTTCGCAGCGCACACGATGTAAAGAACATTTTAGATAATTTTTGTACACTTTGGGTTACATTATTGAAGCTTTAGTAAGGAGGATCCTTACTAAGTTTTTTGAAAATTAAATATATGCTATGTCATCCGGGCACAATGTAGCTACCCAACAGTGAAAGAGATTTTCAAATCGCTTCAGTAGTTTGGGAGCCTATTCAATGCATACAAACAATCAAATCTTTCCTTTAACGGTAGGCGGGGTGGGTTGTGTTAGGTTTTATTTTCGTTACAGAATTTCTTGATTCGGTCGCCGCGCTCAAAGCCCGCGATTAAAACTATGCAATAGCTTAAAAAACTTTCATTATTTTTAAAACGTAATTCCAGCGTAAAGTTAAAATGCGTATGTATGGTTAAATATGTCAGCCTCTTGATTCTTCAGCTCTGTCGGATTTAAGTACACGATTTTTTTTATGAGCGAGAAAGTGGCAAACGAGCTGGCGGTTCATCTGATGTTAAGTGATAACCTCCGCCCAAGGACCCGTAGGGGTACAGATGCATTGCCACCTTTTAATAAAGTGGGCTCCGGCTACCTCTCTCACCGGACGAAACGCAGAAGTGTAACACTTTTACTTCACGCCGGTCTTCTGTGAGGTTGTGGTACTAACCAGGACGGACCTGCCCATTCGTGCACCAGCGAATACTATTGTGTGGCCCTACCACAGTAATAAAGAAACAAAGAAAAATAAATATATTAAAATAACTAGGGAATTAAGTGTTCTCCGGTGCTGGTTTAAAGCTTTATGGTTTTTTCTTTCAACATCAACCCAACAGTACAAAAATTAAAATCTAGAATTGTACTTTTATTACAATTTAAAACTGACTCATAGCTAATACTTTTGTCAAATGTTTGACTAAATTGATTACATTACTTGGCAATTTCATACTTCTTGGGCCAACGCCAATTATTTTCTACGGGTTTTAGAGGAACGAATGGATGGATTAGATAAAAATGCTGGACCTTCTTAAAGAAAATCTTCGTTTAAGAGCCCTATAGATGATTACTCACGTTTCATGTACAATCAATACACTTAAGTTAGAAGTTAAAGTTTTGTTATAATTTATTTATACTGTGTTGACCTTGCTCTCGGTAATTATGAGAAACAGATTTAATAAATAGAGCAACGATTGAATAAGAATTAGTTCCTAGAATCTGATTAATGGATATGGCATTATTAAAATTAAAATTTGTAGATATCATACAGATCTTTTCATAATTTAATTTTATACTTTGATCATCCTTTGTTTTATGTATTATTATAAAAAATACATATTCAATTATTTGAGTAGAAAAATGTTTGTTAACTTATTCATCACAAAATAATTTTATACATAAAATAATATGCAATTGAAACCATAAGTACCAGAATGGAATGTAATTAAATAAGAAGTAGAACTTATCACTTTTCAAGGCCATAAAATATTCCAAAACATCGGCACATGGCCGCTTTCGCCCACACTTATGTATTGTTATCATTACGTCAAAACGCCGTGCATCCACATGATTAGAACATCCTGAGTAACGACACGACGTTTTATCGGGCTATTTGCATGAAGCCGGCTCTAAAATTAAGTTCCGTGGCCAGAAAAAAAATAGCAAAATGCACGGAATTCAATTTCGTAAATGCCAGCTGCTTACGTACCTTTATTTTGTGCTGCCATTATTTTTTCGCACGAAAATATTTTCTCATCGTAAATTCGAAAAACATTCACGTTACACGAATAACATCGTCGCAATCATTCCGGAGCGCAACTAGTTGTGCCAAACGTGTTTACAATGTCACTGATGGTTGAAAATGGCTTGTTTAGTGGAAAAATCGATGTGGCGACGCGCGCATTGAGCCGCAAGTCCACGCAAGTGATAAGGCGCCTGCCAGAGCAATATACCCATCCTGTTTATATATTTTATTCTAACCCGAATCTTAAAAACACTCCCTTATTGTAGAAACTGTCATAAGATACAAATAACAGATAGTTTAGTAATACCATTCAATCAACAATATGAGGAAGTGGAATAACTGTGTCTTGACTATTAACATATTTCAAAAGGAGTTTTCCAAAGACATGTACAAATACTTCTTACAACAACAAGTTAAAACCCCATTAAGAATTAAGACTGCTCTGTTTGGTGCTTCACGCGAATTAACCAATTTTATATTTCTTGAAACTGATGTGTAGTTTTTACTACACATCAGTTTCAAGAAATTAAATTAAACAATTAAACCGCTTTTCAAACATTATAATTATGTGTTCTCTACGACAGACTCCGGTTAGCCTCTATCGTCAACATTTCGCCACAGTTGTTAAGTTCTCTACAATTTCTTCATTAGGTATAATATTGTACATAATTACTATTATAATATTATACATTATAGTAATTATTACTGTACTAACATTTTTTTAATGAAAAAAAGTGATCACCGCCCCCATAGATACCTGCAACACCAGAGATTTGTAAGCCACAAATGCGTTGCCGGCCTTTTTGGAAAGAGTATGCTCTCTTCTTGAAGGTTCCCAGGTCGTAACTGTTCGGAAAGACCCCCGGCGGCAGCTGGTTCCACAGAGTGGTTGTGCGAAGCAGGAAATGCCTTGAAAATCGAGCTTTTGTGGATAGCTGGATATCGAGGTGGTGTGAATGAACATTTTGGTTTTGCCGCGATGTCTAAACTATTTCTCGGAACACTCCCCATGATAAATGCGGTAGAAGATGCAGAGTGATCCAACATCTCTACGCAGAGCCAAAGGATCAAGCCCATCGGAAAGTCTTTCATCGTCGATAACCCTAGCCCCCCTACGTCGAATTCGGTCAAATGGAAGAAGCTGGTAATGGTGAAAGTGAAAATGGTAAAGCTGGTGGTGGTAAATGGCTGAAAATGAGATACTCCAGAGTGGTGAATTAGACATAAAGACATAGACATAAACATAAACTTTATTTTGACAACCAACAAACAGCACAAAAAATTCAAAAAAATAAATGACATAAACATAACATATTGATAAATAAAAACATAACATCGTTTCAAGAAAAAAAGCAAGTTAAAAAAAGGAAAACAAAATAAGTACACAAAGTTACAAATATAAAAATTATTAATAAAGAAACAAAAAGACATATAGAAACCTTTGAAGGAAAAAAAATGCATAGTGTATATGTAATAAGGAATGAATTGTGCTGTGAGTTTATGTCAAAAATGGTCTCCACTCAGCAAAAAATACGGAGAGTTCCGCAATGCTGGTATTCTGTGGAGCCATTTCGATGCTAGGAATGTGAGGAATGTGCGGGTAGATGCGCAAACTTGTGAAAATATTACCAGAATAAAATAAACTAAAATTAAATAATAATAAAAAAATAAATTGTGCAACACTGTTAGAATTTCTGGCAAATATTGACCAACAGAAAGAAAGCAATGCAAGTAAAAATTATTAGCAATAATATTGATAAAAAAAAAAAAGAGAAACAAACAAAAGGACTTTATATACACATAAATACATTATATTAGTGCCACGGGGGCTATTAGGGACGCATTAGACGTTTTGCGTTAGGTATGTGGGTAATACTCGTCTAGAAGCTGGTAAGCATTTTTGGAAAGACAAAAGATGTTGTTTCAATTTGAATTTAAAATAACTTAAACTTTTTATAACCCTTATAGGCGGTGGTATATTGTTCCAGCATTTAGACGCGGCGTACTTAAAACTTCCTCTGAAAGAAGCTTAGAGGTGTTTTGGGATCCTAAGTATCATCTTTTTAGTTGCCCTAAATCGATCAGTTGACAACCAATAAAGTTTTTGAAAAAGATACTTAGGTCGGCCAGTTTTGATAATCCCAAATAATAGGGTTGCCAAATGAAGTTCCCTACGCAAAGTCATCTTAAGTACATTAAAATTATTTATGTAAGGAGTGACGTGTGTACGTGGTGGAATTTTAAAGCAAAAGCGCGCACATGCATTCTGAACTCGCTGAATAAGTCGTTCTGTACCCGCCAATATTCAAGGGCCGTATACAGTATCAGCATAGTTTAGTCTTGACAACATGAGGGAATCGCACAGCTTAACACGTAGGCTGACACTAAGGTAATCACGTATGCGATACGTGAACTTTTAATCTATAAAAACAGTTACGTACAAAATCAAGTACGTGACCCTCGAAGCGCAGATCAGTATCCATCTTGATCCCCAAATTACGCGCTTCAGTAACCCTTTCAATTAAATTTCCATCAATTTTTACTTGGGGATCATGTGTTAAGATGTTAGTTATTTGCATTTTACTACCAAGTACCATCTATTTGCATTTTACAGGGTTTAAAACTAACGCATTTTTAACAGACCATTCGCTTATTCGGCTGAGATCTTCATTCAGTTTCCAATTACATATTATAATGTTATAATTTATATGCACATAAATATTGTAACCAACAGTTTAACTGACTCTTAATTGAAGTTTCATATCCAACTGCTATTAACAAGTTAACAATTAATTGCGTTAATTATTCGTCTCTTATTACTCTCTCTTCTCGTACTAACCGTTTGCGGTTAGCCCAATTTTATTGGTAATAAGGGGAAACGAGATAGTGACGATTATGACTATTGAAGTAAACATTAGCATATTGACTTCTAAAGAGTCCAAAAGAGGGCAAAGAATGTCATTTTTTAGGATGGTAGCTGCCATCCTAAAAAATGATATTACCCATGACAAAATGAAATACAAGTTTAGTTTCATTGGATCATCTATCGATCGTATGTCAATGACCTATGTTGCAACATATTACGTTTCCTTTGTATAAAACTTATGCACAGTAAAAGGTAGCAGTGATTTATCGAGTGTGGAAATAACTTTATATTTTTGCAGTGAAAACTTCTTTAGGCGTTTAATATTCTCCTCGATTAGAAACAAAACTGGTAGTATTCTGTTTAACTTTCAAGTATACTTTTCTTCCTATGCTAAATAATACCCTATTCAATTCACGTGAATTGAATAACTTATTGTCGAATTAGTATTTGGAATTGAAAAAAATGGAATTCGAAAAAATATTTGGCATTTCATTCGAAAAAAAAACTTATTTATTATAAAACGTTTGTCCGCGAGAAATTTATGTTTGTAAAACGACCGTACAACACAAGATAATCTTATCTAATATGTCCTTACTTTAAAAAAGTTTTTTTAAAAAAAGACTATAAGAGGAAATAAATACGTCGAGAAATACAAAATTAGTTGATAGTATACATAATATCAAAATATTTGGTAACTTATTGATATCCATTTTTATCAATCTTATCCATCCAATCCATTGATATCCATTTTTATACAAATCCAATTTCTAACCTAAATAGAAACAATTTAGTCGATTTATTTTATTTATCGTCTATGGTCAGACGGCTCAAGTGCGTGCACTCGTGCGCTCTACTCCTAGCAATAAAGTACAAAATTTCCATGCGTACATTGAAGCGTCATAAATTCCAGAACTTGATAGACGTGATTGAAATGACAGCTGTCCGCTGTCGCCTGCATCAATCTACACGCACGGATTAAACATGCTTACAAACGCGCAAAGGCAGTTGAACCTTAAAATAATGTGTTATCTTTATTTTTATTTCGGTACTAATTAATGTCTTTATTTGATTTTTTAAATTTTAACTGTATAATAAACCTTACTTCAAATTATTTTTTTAAGAATTTTGTAGTAAATATTTTTATAAAAGTAAAGTCTATACATCTCCCACTGCTGGGCAAAGACCTCCTCTGAATAGTGAGTATCAGGGTATAGTCCACCACCACTGTGGATTACCGGACTTCACATATCTTCGAAGTATTTCGAATTATATGCACGTTTCCCCACAAATGTCTTTATTTGATTTTTTAAATTTTAACTGTATAATAAACTTTACTTCAAATTATTTTTTTAAGAATTGTGTAGTAAATATTTTTATAAAAGTAAAGTCTATACATGTCCCACTGCTGGGCAAAGACCTCCTCTGAATAGAGAGTATCAGGGTATAGTCCACCACCACTGTTGATTACCGGACTTCACATATCTTCGAAGTATTTCGAATTATATGCACGTTTCCCCACAATGATTTCCTTTCCTGCTGAGCACATGATAAGTCATCACTTAAAATTAACAATTTAATTGGTGTCGACACCGAGTATCGAACTCAGGTTGTTCGAGTATATTGCATTAAAGGCGAGCGCCCGGACACTGTGCTATCATGGCTATCATAATATTTTTATGTTTACTTATGTAATTAATAAAAAAAATTGGTTGACTATCATATTGAGACTAATTATTAAAACTAATTATTTATATATATTATATATATTATTTATATAAATAATTAGTTTTATGTTATTAATATTAGCTGTATGTTATTAAGCCTATGCTGTTCTGCCATCTTTTCTTTTATTGACATCTGTCAATATCAGTATTAGGGATGTGCAAGTAAAAAAAGATATCGATATTTATCATATCGATATTTTTAAAAACTGTCGATAAATATCGAGTGAAAAATATCGATATATCGTAAGTTTTCACATGATTATTTATACATATTTACAAATGATTCAAAATTCTTAAAAATAATATACATGAAGAAAATAGTTGAAAAGATTTTTTACAAGTTAACGATGCTTGAGGAGATTGCAAAGAGTACCCAGTAAAATTTCACACGAAACCAGAGTTGCGTTAAAAAAATATATCGAAATTGACACAAATTCTATAGTCTTAAATAAATAGTCTTAAAAGCGTTCTTGGCACCATGCCGCGTGGATTAGGTTTATTAGATAATATGTAATTTTAGATAGATTTAATCTTGTAAATATTAGATCAATAAATATCAAATATCGATATATCGCGATAAAAAATATCAACGATATATATATATATCGATAATTGTTTGTTGTATGGAAAAAAATATCGATTTTTAATGCCCATGCCTAATCAATATTGTCATTGTCAAATGTCAATGATTTTTGTTTTGATCTCACCGATTTGTTTTAAAACATAATATATAAAATCTTTTTTGTTTTTATTCTTCCTAAAATGAAGGAAACAAAGATGAGTACTCACCTTTCAGGAGGCAGATTAAATGTAGCAATGCTACAAGAGGCTATGAGAAAAGAATTATTGAATCTTTTACAACTTTGCGAAGGACCTAAAGTGAGTTTCTTTTGTCACAAACCCGATTAATTTGTTTTAACTTCGAATTAAGTTTTAACCTTAAATTTTTGCAACAGGTTACAATATGGGATGAATGGCTAGCAGGTCCAGTGGGTCTTGTCGCCCAATATTCACTGTTGAAGGAACATGAAGTGGCTGATATGTTTCCCTTGCGGCCGGGTAGTTTACCCACTATATCAGTTAAACATATTGTGTTTATTACTCGACCCAAACTGGTATTAATGAACTTGGTTGCTGATTATATTCAATCTATAAGGTGAAAGCTAATATTTTCTTTGTTCCTTTCTAATGTGATTTAATAGCAAGTGGCAGATGTTAAATAAATAGCACAGTCCAGGGACATCTACAAAACCTTGATGCATTATAGATGCATATATCAACTCAAAAAATTATGCTCCGTTTTTGTTATTTGAGACTACCTGTGCCTGCGACTTCATCTGCGTGGAATTTAAAATAAAAAAAAAATCTAAAATAAAAGTAGCCTAAGTTACTCCTTATTACATCAGCTATGTATCAGTGAAAGTCCCGTCCAAATCGGTCCAGCCGTTTCAGAGATTAGAAACAAACAGACAAATATTGTAAAAAATGTTATTTTGATATATGCACCGTGTATACATCTATATGCATTTAATAAAAAGTTATTTTAATGCTACAAACAGACACTCCAATTTTATTTATCTGTATAGATGGTGGCTGCCTGTTCACTGGATATTAGTGATAACCACATCCCTAGACCCATGTACTACTTCCACTTCATGCAACAGCAGTAGTAGCTACATGGCCTTTTAGAGTTTTTTTTATATATTTTTATATAGTTTGTTTACAAATAAACAAGGAACATTTGTTACTAAATATTTAATACTCTGATTTTTAAAACAGGTATTAAACCTGACTGTTATTTTTAAGTATAACTTATAGGATTACAATACATCAATTAAGCTGTTTTTAATATTTGCAATTACTATTGTTTTAGACAAATAAATCCAGCTTCCGATTTCTCAAAGTTTTTATTTTGAAATGTAATTATCTTTACTCCATTTATAGGTCAAAACAAAACTCGCCAGTGGAATTTCATTTGTTCTTTGTGCCGCGTAAAAGTGAACTGTGTGAGAAGCACTTGAAGGATTGTGGAGTACATTCCTACTTATCCATTCAAGAGTTTAAATGTGATATTTTTCCGTTTGATAGTGATGTTATGTCTTTGGAGCTACAGAATGATTTCAGGTACTTAGTAAGTAAATTTACACTGTTATTAATAACGACAGGATTTCTTTTTGACATAATATTATGTTTAATATTATTCCATTCCATGGCGCAGTTGCTAAGGTTTTGGCTTTATCGCCGAAGGTCATGGGTCGGAGTCCCACATGGGACAAGTATTTGTAGGACCTATAGAAAATTGTTCCAGATCTGGGTGTTTATTCCCAAGAAGAGTGTCATGTTTTGCCTCCTTCTTAGGTGGGATAAGGTTAGGAAAAAAAAGTTATATAGCTTCAACAAGTCTGAAATGAATTCTCATGATTGATTACTTATGATTAAGGAATTTCTTATGCCAAATTAAGAAATTGTGAATGATGAAATATTATATTTGAATTATAGATCCGAAAACCTTTTAATTAAAGGGTGTTGATGAAACTAGTAGTGTTACATATTTCTTTAATAATGTACTATTCCATATTTATAGGGAGAACTATTTAGAGGGTGATCCAACATGTCTATACAATGCTGCGCAGGCTTTACGCAGTATTCAACACTTGTACGGAATCATCCCTCGAGTGTTTGGCAAGGGTCCTGCTGCAAAACAGGTATGCACAAAATTATATTATAAGATTAAAATTGAGGGTACCCTACAGAACAGATGTTCGACTTGTAAAAATAAAACTCATATATAGACCCGTAAGTTCTACTAAATCTCTCCATCCATCTCCATTAAATAAATCATGTGATCTTAAAAATTATATTTAGTAGAAGAAGCAGAGTTTGAATCATAAATAAGTAGATGCTGATATTTTTTAATATTAGTAAGATATGTACAGGTAGTTGATGAATATTTTTTTAACATGAATAAGATATGTACAGGTAGTTGATGAATATTTTTTTAACATGAGTAAGATATGTACAGTGACTTATTGGACTATCAGGTATGGGACCTTCTTTGTCGCTTAAACAAAGAAGACCAGGGGTCCCCACCAAAAGGTTCCACAACCTCCTGCATCGACCAGCTGCTCCTTATTGACCGAGCGATCGATTTCACCAGTGTTATGGCAACACAGCTCACTTACGAAGGCCTTATCGGTAAGTCATCAGCCTCTCCCTCAGTCTGCCATGAAAGACGATCTTGACTCACCTGCATCAATCGACTTCCTGGCCGAATAGCCGAAAGTTTGAATTGGCGTGATGGTTTCTCGCTCGTTTGTTCAAATGTATTTACCTCCCTCCCAAGTCGCGCTGCGCTTTTTTTACAAATTTCATTATCCCACTATCCACAACATAGACACCTGTGCTTACGTACGTAAATCTTACTTTACGTTTTCATTTGTCTAAAAGCAAAACGTTCTGGGTCTAAGTAATAATAATCGATTAGGAAAGAAACGTGAACTAACTTTGGGAGTGATGAAAGTGATCCAAAAGTAACGTGTGAAAAGAAAAAGAACTGCCGACTATGTATAAAAAATAGTTTTCCTACGCCATAATTATTCTCTTCTAAATTTTAATATTTACGAAAAATAATGAAAATGTGTAGTCATTTATTTGATAGCTTTTTGGCTATTTCAATAAGACGCCACTTGATTACATGATTACACGGAAAATACGTTCTTATTATGTTACTTTTAAATCGATATTTTCAATTCACTTATAATGTGTCATCATAAAACATCTTACTCGTTTTACATTGAATTATTATAATATTCTTTATCATTATAAATAGCCGAATATGCGGCTATAATTCGAATATTCGGCTTCGACGTCGAGGCTCTTGGGTTCGATTCCCACAAGGACAAGTATTTGTGTGACCCACAAATAATTATTCCTGATCTGGTTGTTTGTTCCCAAGGAGGGTGACGTCAGATAGGCGGCCGGTCTTAAAATTGTGGCCAAAGCCGCTTACACATGTTGTTTTAGGCAGCTGTCAGCTACAGCCTGGGGTCTGCCTAAAACAACATGATTAACGCATTTAGAAGAAGAACCCGAATATTCTTTAAAAGTCTACTTGACAGTACTCTTCCGTGGCCTAAAGGGCCTCGATACCGGCCCGTAAAATCCAAAAAGAAAGTGATCTTCCGTCTCAGACGAGCTGTTCGGCATAAAGAACTCAACGGCGACCTTCCCGGGCGACAAGTTCGTCAGCGCGGACGACGCGACGCCGGAGGTGACGGCCCGCGAGAAGAAGCGCGTCATACTCAACTCCAGCGAGGAGCTGTTCGCGGAGCTGCGCGATTGCAACTTCACGGCGGTGAGCGAAATTTGACCGGTCGTTATTAAGCAGGGGTGATCAACTATTTGTTCAATGAAATAGAAAGCATGTTATTAATATCCGACAATTCAATAGATAAAACAGAAACTACATTATTAATATAGCTGTTAATTTGGACCCTTAATATTATCGTATATAATTAATTATATTATTTTTCAAACGTCATTTTGCGGCAAATCATTCAAATATTTTTAATATCACTCTCTCTGCTATTGACAAGAACTGGACAAATAGATAAAATAATTTTTTATTGAAAAAAATTAAAGCATAAAAATTTTAGGCAACATTTGTAAATTCGGTAACTGTACTGCCCTTTGGAAAATATATACCTACGGGTCGATGAGACATCACTATAATGTGCGAAAATTCGCAGAGGTAACTAGTAATAGAAATATATTTTACACACCTTTACCCTAATTCGAATAGCCATATCATAGTTGATCGCCGTGATTTTTTAAGATACAGTAGATTTTACGTAAGAAAATGTTTACGACTTCTGTTAGTTAAAATCATTTATGATTAATGTCTACTAACCATAATTTTATTTTTAGTCCTAGTCTCACTCATCGAACTCGTGTCTTCCGGGTATCGCGCCCAGACGCTCTACCAACTAAGTATCTACACCTTTTCAGCTCTTTACCAACTAATCTCGACGTCTATCTACTTACTTTATTGAATTTTTAGGAATGCTTGGCCATCTAGGGTGCATACACCTTACAAGTAACAGCGTCCGGGTGGGCCAGCCCTCTTATGTTGGACTTTTAGGAGTCGTTGCCACTGAAACCAATTTGGATACAGCTGTCTGAAGTACTTAAATCTAAGAATAGACAATTCGTGCCTTTCTATATTGAACCACAAATCAGGAGGCTCTGATCGCTCGTGCATCCACTTTTAATAATTTTAAACGCCAAACAGATTATACCTTAGTCTTATTCTATGAAGCGTGCAACACACAGCCCTGCAGTTGGCGTTGCCTGATATTTGTCGAACTTTTTATGAGAAATCTGCCTTCGCCTTATGAATTACTCCCAATAAATTGCCCTGATGAAATCATCGTGTGACGAGACCCGAACATATCGGAGATCGGAATGACTGGTGGAGAATGCCACTAGGTATTAAGTCCGGCCATTGTAGCCTTTAGCCTAAGGTGTAACAATGAAGTATAAATAAATAAATAAATGATCTACAGTAGGGTTGCATTTTATTGTTTGACCATAATTTAATTTACTTAACTTTTTATAATATTGGTTGGGTTAAAGTAAGAATTTCAGTAACTTTTCGGTCAATATATTTATGTGATTAAAATTAAGTATTTGTGACAGAGTAACAAACATCCATCCAATACATACAAACTTTCGCCTTTATAATATTAGTAAGGATTTCAGTACAATTTTGATTACTAAGTATTTCTGATAAAAAAAATCGTATTATTTACATATTTAATATATTATGTTTAAAATTGCTTTTGCGTCTGTTATTGGATTCAGTCATGTCTCGGACTTAGTAAACACACGTATACCCACGTCAGGGTTGTCACGTGTCACCACGGTTCATCGTCACAACAGGTCGGCGCGGCGTTGTCGAAGAAAGCGCGCGTAATAAAGACACAGCTGGACGAGAGGCATAACGACAAGTCCGTGCAAGAGATCAAGCAGTTCGTCTCCCGCCTGCCGCAGATGCTGGCTAACAAGCAATCGTTGGCAACGCACACCGCCATAGCTGAATACATCAAGGAGGTTAGAGGAACACGCTACCAAATCATCACATAATTAGTTTGTGACAGCCCTGGAAGAAATATAATTGTTTTGTCCTTTAGATTCATCAGGGCTGGAACAAAATGATTAAGAAAGCTGATTTCGCTTTTTGATCTTAAATTACCCGTTTATATGAGAATAATAAAGATCGCATCTAAACAAACAAGTAGGAGCTCCTTAATTTTGGTACTACATCGAAGATAAAACTTAATATTTTCATACCTACTAACTAGAATGATTACATCTTAAAATATGAGCCTCGCGAATCTTCATTGTTAGTAATCGGTGAGGTAACACACATTTTAAATAATGTGTAGTGTTCGCTTAAACATAAAGAGTTTTATCCCGATTAGTCTAACTACTTATCCGTAAGATAATGGTTATCCAATATGGAATAATCAAAACTTTTACATAAACATATCAAAAAAATGCATAATTCATCGCCGTAAACCTATTATTTTTAAATCATTATAAAGGGACAATTTAAAAGCATTGAATAAAGAACGATAAGTATTCACAATACTGTCCGCTCTATCTATCAATCTACGAATTTGAATAGTTACAATGTCTTCTAATGTTCGTCAAGTCGTTATATGAACTGCGGATATCCGCGACGGAAGTCAACCGTCTGTCTATAAATCGTATCTAGCATAAAATTGCCCACCGTTATTTGACCCACTGACAAACTATTTAATTATTTATTTATTTCAACGTTTACAACTATCTTAACAGGTTATCCTAATTATGATAGTGTAACTATACAGGGTGATTTATCGACGTCGGACATATCAACAGAGCATATGCAGAATTTGATTCTAAATCTGAATCTGGTACGTACTTGTGACCTAACCTTTTTTTTTTTCAAGGATTATTTTTCATTTTTTCAAACATTATGGACACCTTAACTAATTTCTGCCTTACTAAAACTTTTCGCTGAACGCATAATCACTAAACCGCTTATCAATAGGGTGACCACTCTTAACGGGATAAACAAACAATATTTGAATTGATATTTTTCTGGTTATTTCTTGTCAAAATAAAATATTATATATTTTTTTTCAATTATGGAATGCTCAATTAACATTATGTCAATGTACTTCGTTTAAAAAATTACCGTACCATGTTGTATATATTGATATTTTATATTAGGTATATAAAAATAATATACAATGCTAGCTTTCTGAACTCTTTTAGGGGACAACAAAACAAGTCTATTTCTCTGGCTATCAAGTTAAAGATTACAAAGAGCAAGTGTCAGGGGTGCCTTGTGCATAAAGTTTAACTATATAAATTTTTATCATCTTTATGTTTTAATTTAGCACCACTAAAACGATATTTCAAATATCACTAAAAACACTAGTATAATCCAGAAAAAACACATTCTGCTATTCTAATTTTTTTTCAGATTTTTACTCCAATGTCCTATTTATTGCATTAAAATACAAGCACTTCAATGGTTTGTAACAAGCGGGGAAATTATCTCTCTCAGTGCGGTGAACCGTTTGCAAAATTTCCATCTTTTCGAAACAAAAAAAAAGGTTTAACTAAAAATATCAATAGGTAGGCTAGGCTGTCTTGTAACCGTCAATAATCTTCTATCAGTTTCTAACCGGATTTTTTTAATTTCGACATGCCCTTGTACATGAAAACTTTTATAATATATTTTTTTTTTCATTGCTATAGCAACAACTAAAGTGTGCTATTCGAAAAGTCCGATATTGGAACAAATTCGAATCGTATATGAGACAAGAGTTTCAAGAACCACGATAACTTAGTTATTGTCAATTTAAATAAGATTATAAGGCCAGAATTGTTCTGGGCAAACTGTATTATGAATTAAAAAGGAGCTCTTTCCAGACCACGGACTCGTTCGAGTTCCACGACACGATACAGTGCGAGGAGGACTTTCTGAATTGCGTCGACAACGAAAAGGCCTGCCCCTTCATCGAAGACCTCATAGCGCAGAAGGCGCCGCTGACTAAGGTGAGCACCGCACTATCTTTGAAGCTAGCGTCAATCATTTTATTGTATATCTTTACGCAGTGGCAAATTTGATCCTGTAGTATCCCTAGTTATATGAAAGATTGCCGCCGCCCGACTTTCTGTAAAGCAGAAACAATTAAACGAAATAAAATAAAAAACAACGAAAGTCAGTAAATGATATCTGATCTTGAAGCGGAAGAACATAAATGGAAACTGGCCGCTTGATTTATTATATTTTTTACGGAATATCTCCTAAGGAAAGGAGAGGCGAGAGGCGCGACTACTAAAAAAATCTCGCTAATTTGCCGCCCTAAGCCCGTGCCTACTAGGCCTATAGAGAAATCCGCAGCTGCTTCTACTTGAATATATCAGCTGAAACTCACACGTACATAAAATCTACACTTCAACAATCGAGGATTTATCTAATTTCTGGTGCTTTGTTAAAATTTTTACAGCATAGTTTTTTTCTAACGCCTGAGTTTACATATCAAAAAAACTCATAACCGAATCGAATTGAGCGTTCGGAACACTTGGGAGAAGATTTATATTTTATTCGAATAGATCCGATTGTCCGAAGGTTCTCAGACTGATTTGCCTGCAATGCGTGACCGGTTCCGGCTTCAAGCCCAAACTGCTCGAGTACTACAAACGGGAGCTCGTGCAAGTGTACGGCCTAAAGACCTGGCTCACCCTCTGCAACCTGGAGAAGTGCGGCTTGCTTCGGCCACAGACCGCTAACCGGCAGTATACCGTCCTAAGAAAGGTATCATCGCCCGACCACCTTCGCTGAGGATATTTTTTTAGTTTCCTTTGGAATCATCATCATCATCGACATCGGAATGAAAACACTCCTCCACAAGTATCGAGTCAATCCATCGGCTGGTTTTTGAGGTTTGTCGACAGCCCAATTTTCAAAAGGTTGTCAACGCATCTAGACCCCTCGGGTGCAGCAGATGTCCATGGGCTGTATTCACTTAACATCAGATGAACCGTCTGCTGGCTTGGCAACTTTTCACATTAAAAAAAGAGACTTTTTTGACTATGGTAGTGCCACCCAACAGTTAACTGTTGCACGAATCGACAGGTAAGGTTAGTATTAAGTATGCACGAGCTCACGGAACACCGGCGTCTCCGTAGTGTGAAATTTATTAATAGGTGGCAACGCATCTGAAACCCTGCGGATGTTGCAAATGGGCGGCGGTTATAGCTTAACGTCAGGTATACCGCTAGCTCGCTTGCCATCTTCTGACATAAAAAACAAATTTACGGACGCTACATCTTTATGTAAAAAGATATATAGCTTAGTCAGAGGTATAATCGTCTCAGGATAGTGTTTGAGCCGAATATGAAATGCCCGAATTTGCCGCCATCATACTCTTAACAATTCGACTTTCATTACACTGGTCAAATGGTCACTAAATCAATTTTGCAAAGACCCCTATTTACATTATTAGACCTAAATTACACAAGTGTAATATACTACACACAACTGTTGAATCTAAATATTTGTTCGATTTTCAGACATTGCACCTCACAATGGACGAATCGGAGCTGGACGATAATGAGAAGAGCTACCTGTCAAGCAAATATGTACCCTTGGTCGTAAGACTTAGTGAACATATCGCAAAAAACAAGGGATGGACTGGTGAGTGCATTATTGATAGTGAAACCAAAATAGCACACGAAATAGATACTGGCCAATTTATAAAAATAAGTCTCTTTAGTCGGTAGATGATGATTCGAATACATAACATGTAATTGTTATGTAGTAATCATTTAAATATTTTTTTTAATGAGAGAAGATGGCATACGAGCTGGCGGTTCAACTGAGACATTTACAACACCCATAGGGTTGCAGATGCGTTGCCACCTTTTAATAAATTGGGCTCCGGCTACCTCACTCACCAGACTAAATGACGAAGTATCACACTTTCACTTCACGCCGGTATTTTATGACTTCGCGGTACTTTCTCGGGCGGACCTGCCCATTCGTGCAACAACAAAGACTGTTGCGTGGCCCTACTAGTGTAGAAACATAACTAGATGGCGTACGGGTCGGATTAGTTCGCGGCATGGTTTGCTTAAACGCTGTACTACATAAGGACGGCGAGTTCAAAATAAAGATACGCTCAGATTTCAAAATAAAGATACAGTTGTGGTTTTATTCAATCGACCCTCATTCACAAATTACGAGGAGTGGCCAATAAAACACGCAGTGTTAATAACTTTCCATAAAAAGACTAGTGCTTCGTGGAAAGAAATGTTCCTCCGATGAAGAAGTTGAGGAAGTGGTTCCGTCGTATTTTTCCGACAAAGAAAAAAAAATTATGAAGATATAAATAAATAAACGAAATATCTCAAAAAAATATTATTTTCCCCCCTTGTTCCCCATTCCGCGAACTTAAAAACGCCCCCTCACATAATTCAACGTCAGCAATCACAAATGTTCGGCTCATGTTGCAAATGCATCGTCGATGTGGGTATTTTTATCGCCGCACACCCAATGAGAACGACCGTGTTATACAATTATACAATCCACATTAGGCTATTATTGGACTAATTTAATCGAATTACGCCTCAATGCTTCCGTTCGACCTTCGTCTATGAACAAACACATCAAAAAATTTAATGGGCTAATTATGATACTAAGTTACATATAAGTATATAGTAGCCTTTTTAATACGATATAATTTTATCCAGTTATCTAGAATATATTTCTTTTGAAAGTACAAATACTTGATACAAAAATCTAACATTTTCTACAACTACCTGACCATAGGAACATAAAAGAATAAGGACTTTTTAATTTATTATTAAAAAAAAACAATTGACTCTTCGACAAGCTTCAATCCGCGAATCCGCGCAATTATATTACTATGCTTTTATATATTAAACTAGCGGCTCTATTAAATATACTTACTTCGTATACTTATTAGATTTTCAAAATCCAATACGGTTCAGATTTTCAACATTTTATTAGTTTTTATTGGACATACGTACGAGTATAATATAGGTAAACAATGGTGTCGGCACCGTATATCATACCTACGTCATATTGGCTGGATCAAAAATGTTATCATTATTTACTGGCGTATGGGTAAAATAACGAACTTGGTATTAACATCGGCTGTGATGATAAAGAACGCATGTTCATTTCATTATTGATAAGTACACCAACAACAATTGCTATATTGCCGACAAATCGAGTGACGAGGGATTCTGATGGGCAAAATCCATTCGCGATGTTTATGAACTTCACACATATAAAAAAGGACATTTTAACCTTCACACAGTTTGATATTGTACGGTTTTGCATTGACCTTCTCATCACAGTCTTTACTAATTTATGCAGATTGTGGATAATTCATATGGAAGGTCGCTTCTGCATTTTATCTCTCGTTCACGCAGTCGGTTATTGGTGCTTCCCATAGTGAAGATAATTATTACTTTAAATTAAACGGTCCTCGAGATTGTTTATTTTAACAGTTCACTGTTTATCATATAGTTAAAAATGTTTCCCTTGTTTTGTTGTCGATCAGATCCGTCATGACAATCCTAATTTAGTCCGGTCATAAAATGATAATGTGAAATTCAGTTAATTTTATTTTAATTGTTAGTGTTTCAACAACACAACAATTTTAGTAAAAACACTCGATTACATACAAAAATACTCGATTCTTCATCAGAAACTTAATAATTTACGAGTATCATCATTGCAGCCTACATTCGAGTCATTGGTTCGATTCCCACACACGGGACAAGTATTTGTGTGACCCACGGATGATTTATCCGAACCTGGGTTCTAATTCCGAAGGAGGTTTGACGTCAAGCAGGCGGACCAGGCATAAAACAACCTAATCGATACCACTATTCACACGGTTTGCCGACCATATAGTTGGAATAAGGGCAGAAGAAAGGCAAAATAAAGAATAAATGAATCTTACAGCGCGGTTGTTACAGGTATCGTTGATGTGCTTAGCTCCCTGCCCGGGCCTACAGTCGACGAACTCCAGACGCTGCAGCCCCGAATGGTGCGCCGGAACTCCATCTCAAGCGAGAACAGCTCCTCGCTGGAGAGTCCAAGAGTGATACTCGTCTTCTTCATAGGAGGCTGCACTTACCACGAGATATCGGCCTTGAGAAGCATCAGCCAGCAGGAGGACTCCAACGTGGAATACGTCGTTCTAACGACGAAACTTATCAACGGGAACACATTTATCGAATCCCTTATGGAGAATGATTCTTTCAACATATATTGATGATGCTGTATTATTAATGTAGGAAAGAACCAAAGTGAATTATGAATGTTGTGTATATTTTGTCCAATTAAATTATTGAACTGCAGCCTCCTATTAAAAGAAATGTGCTTTACTCAATTACATTTGTAGTGCTTCATCAACGGACTGAGTAATCAGATAATAAACTGAGGTTTTGTATGATGGCAATAATTTTTTTTCCACGTTTTTCCACCCTTGTACCAAAAAAAAAGAAGTAATCAGAAAGTTTTGCAGGCATCAGAAAGCTTTATCTAAAAGATATTCAGAAAGATACATATATATCTTTAAGATAAATCTTTCTTTTTTTTTAAATAAATCTTATTGTGCCACAGTCACTTAAGGCCAAATAGACAAGACAACTCACAAGCTAAGGTCACAGAGTTTCTAAATTGAATGCAATAATGTCTTATTTCTCTATCACAATTCTTAAGTACAGCTTATAGCACAAGGTATACCAACAGACATGTCTAGGGCAAATAAATATGCTTTGTGTAACATAAACAAAACAGCAGTTTGCATAAACAAACAGCTCGTTTGCCACTTTCTCACATAAAAAAGTTAAATGACGATTTCTCCGAGTGTGACCATGGGAGCTTGCTTATTTTTATTATAATAAAATTAAGCAAGTAAAATATAATTAAATTAAATTAATTGTTAATTTTGTAATTTTATCTCATCCATTCCGAAATAATGAATTGTCATTTCAGAGTATGCAAAGTATGATAAGCTGTATAAGTAGTAAATCTTAATGTTATATCTAAAGTTTTAACTTTAAGGTATTTATTTATCAATAAAATAATGCCTAGCTTCTGGAAAGTGTACAGTCAGTTTTTCAAACAGTTTTGACTTTATAAAGACAGAAATATTATATGAAGGTAAATTTTACTATATAATTAAATAATTTTAAATTTCGCTTAATGAAGTGTAATGAAAAGAAAATGTTGAGAAATTTATTTGATATTTGTGATTGTTACTCTGCCTTCCAAATCTTACTAATACAATCCATTGTAGTGTTATTCTTGATTGAGAAAAGATATATATTTAAGGTATTATAAAAATGTTTCACAATAATGGAGTAAATGCTGATAAAATATTGATATCATAAATAAATACCATATAAAACCATGAATCCCTGGTTTATTAAAATTTCATAATGATTAACTTGCATATAATATAAACTTTAATTTGATCAGTTTTTAAATAAACTTACAAAAAATCTGCATGCTTACTAACTATATTTTACAGTATTAAAGCTTCAGCATAATAAAAATAATTTATTCATTCACCACTATACTTTCAAAAATTTGCGAGTGACTACTCTCATAAATATTCATTACTTGTATACTTTGTGATGTTAGATTTCTTTGGGGATGACACTTTCACACCAAACTTCTTTCCCAATGACATTAATTTCTCATTATCATAACCAACCTCTTCCTTATAACACCTTAGCATTAGTGGCATGACTGTGTCTAAAATAAACTTGAAATTATTCTGAGCATAACTCGAGTCATTCCCTATAGAGAGCATAAGGCGACTGTTGAACACTGCATGAATACATTCGTCCAAGACATCCATCATATCCTTTGTCACTAGTTGCAAACCAACTTTCTGTACAGTTATAACGGACTGTGCAAACCATATTGTACTACTAGATAAGTCTACCCAAGTTTCATTTATTATGTACTTAGCTAAAATAAGGCCCAAATTCTCCATCTGCAATAAGAATTTATTTACACCGGCTTTTGTATGCATATTCACAGGAGTCCATTTATCCTCAGACACTTTCAATTTCATTGAATCTACAATCTTCTCTTTATATTCTCTTAAGGCCTTTATAATTGGACTTCTAAGGCAACTATTCATTTGGAACCTTAAATCTAGACCAAATTCACAGAACAAACTGCATTGATCCCTCAAACTTTGAACACATTCCAAAACAGAGTCTAATGCACATTGGGGGGTGAACACTTGTTTTATAATTTGACTCATTAAAATCCTCAATTGCATACTAGCCCAAACAATAAATGCACTAATTTTATTCTTAGGGAATAGGGTAATAAATTCTGTTAAAGCATCACTTAACGAGCAAAAAAATACTTCACCCACTTGGTTTACATAACTGTGAATTGACCCTTCCAATTGTACAGCTTTAACATGAGCTTTAACCGTATGACTACATATATCTAGAAATAGCTCACACGCTTGACTGGTCATGTTAAACTTATTTAGTATCAGCACAGGATGCCTAGAGGATCTTAGGCCTCCTCTCGGACTCCAATTATGACTTACATCAAGTTCTTTAAGTAATATGTCAGTTAAAGCTTTCTGTTTCTGTTCAATTCTCTTTAAAATATCGTCTCTTTGTGGATGAATTTTGAATTCATCACTATTAAGTAGCTTCTGAGCGGACACCATTAACTCATAAGTCTTTTGGAAGTGTCTCTCTACTATGAGTACATCTAACTCTTCTGTAACATCAGCCAACCAATCAGGCAAAGGACTTATTTGTGGGGATTGTATCTCCTCAACTGACAGACTAGGGGAATCAAATGATTCTGATTTTGGCTTATCTAAACTTTCCTTCTTTTTCTGCTTAGAGTTCTCTTTTTCTATGTACATCTTTTTGGCCACATCAAACTTATCTAACCAATCCTTTTTAATAGCTAAACTGTTACACTGAAAAACTCTAGTATCTGGAAATGCTAAAACCTTGAACGCTTGTTTAACAGTCCCCAAATCTCTAACATTTACAATAGCTAAGGTACTAATAGGGTAACTTTTTTGAAATTTGTAGCGCATAGGTCCACGGCGGTTTGAAATCCATGAGGTTAACATTAGGCTGTCACTAAATAAATACACATGCATTCTTTGTAAAGCTGTGTTTTCTTCTGCATCAATTTCTAACAAATCTCCTTCATGAAGTAAGGATCTATCTGGCACATCTAAAAGATTCATGCAACCCTCCACTTTTTCTGTTATAAGATTAAGCTTATTCTTACGTTGCTCTTCGGCCCTCTCCGCCTCCAAATCGTGATTGTCAAGTGACTCCCGTGATATTGTGTTATCGTTACCTAAAATTGAGGCTTGGGATAATGTCGTAAGCACTGTGCGCTGCTCACTAAGCAAGTGAGACAGTTTATACATTTCAGCTTCTAGGTGGGATATTTCCGTTGCAGTCTCAATAAACTGCATGTAGTTCTCATAAACATTTTTCTTAAGAGCACTAGCTGTCTCATCGGCTAAATTTTGAATTTTTTCCTTCTGCTGCTGCAGTTCCTCCCCTCCGACACATGACTTCGCTAGGTCTTTTACATATCGATCAGGTATAAACTCTGGCACAGCAAACTTCTCCATGTTTACATCGGACATCGTTTCGCATTAATGTTTATTATTTCGTGGAGTAACAATTTGTAAAAAACACTGTTTCACTCATCATTCGGTAATCGAACGACAGGACGTATCAATAAACCCACCAAATGTCAAAATTGCGTTCCGTTACGAAAGTTTCTAATTAAATTGGACAAAAAATCGACTCAAGGAGATTCAAGCAAATGTTCCTTTTAGAAAACATCTTTGTTTTATTTTTTGTGATACTCTATGTTATTTTTTATTAAAATCAGAATCAAAAAGACATCAGAAAAGCCTTAGGTTACCTATTGTACTAAGGCCCACAATTTATTAGTGATGTACAATAATATTATACCACTAATAAAAATATACAAATAACTTGTAAATTTAATAGAACATATGACATAATTAACCAAGTTTACAAATATACCATATATATTGACTTCTCTTTGTCTTGCCATCTCAAGTATACAAAGTTACTCTATGTTGCCATCTAATTAACATAATTATGTGTACAATTGATACAATCGCCATGTCAGTTCTGAGGAAAGTGAAGTGTTTTTAATAGTTGTTATCATTTGTCTCGCTTAAATATATTTTGTGATAATTTGTATTAACCTTAATCATAGAGAAACCTAGTATCCAAGCAACTTTCGAAGTATTTTTCTGTTTATCTTTTTATTTTTTGTAGTAAGTTTGTCATCTTGGCACATTCTGACACCTTAGTTGGAAGAGGTCCATAAGCAGTCGACTCGCAGACTTAGGGGAAAAACACAGCTGGTGCTTGACACGCAACAATTACGCAGTCCACTCTGCTGCACTTCCTGACCCCTGGTAACGAAAGATCTAAAATTGGACTAACAAGGGGAACACAATACGATCGGCAGTCAAATCCAAAGCAATTAATACAGTTTCTAACTCTTTCTTTGTCTGCTTTTTTATGTTGATGTTGGTTTTTTTCGACATGCAATTTATTCTGTTTCAATTTTTATAGAAGAGTCAGTCAGTAATAATCTTTTCTTTGTTTCTCTGGCATGCAAATAAAAATAGGCTGGTTATAAACAATAGATGTTAAAATAACCTTCGATTATAGTTGCGCGTAATGAATAGGTTAGATGAAACAGATCAGATACGCTTCACTGGTGAAGAAAATTCCGGTCTTCTTAAATCTTCTTAAAATGTATTTTATGTTATATAGTGTACACTAGGTACATAACTTTAAGACTGCTTTCTCATAGATATTCACTTTTTTGTTTTTCTCTAAGTGTTACACGACACTAGCTTACAATATATTTAAAGTTAAAACATGAATCAATAAGGGTTTTCTTTTATGGGCAATTGTAAACACGTTTTACGATTACATCTTAAAACCTCAACATTATTGGTTTAGGATTTTAGATGGAGTTATAGTTATATGTATAAATTTAGTTAGAGAATTACAAATAATAATTTGATCCACATTTTCATAATCTATGTTGCTCTTCTATTTTGCTAGATTACGGGTCGCAGTTTGAATACGTAAAAACCACCGCCAATGACTGCAATTAATTTTTTTGTCCATGTTAAAATTTAATTTTAAACAAAGTTTTAGGACCAATAAGAATTATTGGAATTGATAATTGTTTGCGTGCTATAGACAAGAGGCAATCACTTTTACCATTTATTAAATACTCACTTATGGTATGACAAGCAGTTCTTATATTCTACTACAACTATCGAATGAATCTGTTGATATTTTTAAGAAGATGCTCGAGAGCACCTCCTAAATGCGAAGCGACTTATTTCCTTATTTTCAATTTTCTATATTATTTCTATTTTTTTTTATGTGAGAAGGTGGCAAGCGAGTTAGCGGTTCACTTGATGTTAAATGATAACCCCCGCCGTTGGGCATTTGCAACACCCGTAGGGTTGCAGATGCGTTGCCACCTAGAAACGCAGAAGTAAAATACTTTCATTTCACGCCGGTCTTCTGTGAGGTGGTGGTACTTCCCCTGACGGACCTGCCGTTTCGTGCTATAGCGAAGACTATTGCGTGGCCGTACCACAGTAGATGCACACAACGGTCTACATTTATAGGTAGGAACTTCAAGAGCAATAAAGTGACAAAGAAAGAACGAATCAGAATTTGCAGCGACTACTTGTGTTTTTTTTGTTGACTAATGATGATTGCGACTTGTATGAAATGGAGTAAAAACATATAACCTAATAGTGTAGATGTCAACTGTAATGTGTAGTCCGACTGAGAATGAGGTCGTTCGGTCTCTTTAGACAGGCATTAACCGAGTACAGATTCTCAAGAATTGATTAATTTAGATATTTTTATTCGAATGCAATGGGTATTAAAAATAAAACACACCAATATCGTCAGGATTGTTAAATTTTATTCGTTCATTATCTTATTAGCGTTTTCGTGCATACACCCATTTTCTTTCCCTTTTTTCATTTGGCAGTGTTTCCATCATTCCTTCTTGTCAGTTACGAATTTGACAGCTTCCACCTCGCCGCATCGTTCTTTTTGACGTTTACCTTGGCGGGCTTGGGTGTAGCTTCCACGACAATTTCGGTCGCCGTGATAGATGGCGCTTCGGGTTCGGACGTATAGTTGCCGTCCCTCTTGAACCTGTAGTAGTAGCGGGAGGTCGCGGCTGCCGAGTTCGACTCGTAGCAGTTTACGAGGGCGTCACCATGATGACCTTAAAGGACCAAGATATATTTAAATGGGACTGAGTACTACCTTCAAAAAATTAACCACACTATAGAGAAAACGAGCGTACAATCAATATTCGCAACCAATATATTTTATTTTCTGTAGATCTAAAGTAGACAATTAATAGTAGCGCGATGACTTAATATTTCCTACGCTTTAGAGTCCATTACATAATCAAGTTTGTTAAATTCGTAGTAATTTAGACACGCTTCGTATTACCCTGATACACAGCGTGTCGTTACAACCGCAACAAAAAATGAACACACGTCTAACGCTACTTGCCAATAATCATAAAAAAATATAAAACGTAAAAAATTTTTCGAACAAACTAATTAAATAAATAATTTTATTATTTGTAACATCCTATACAACTACAACTGACTGATTCATACATTCAGAGACTTTCATTCGTTGCCACTACGTCGCATTACAAGTCTCTCCTTCTAACTGTACCTATGTTTTATCTTCAACCCATTCCTATGCTTTGTGACCTTTACAAATGAACTTTACAATTTTATACGTAAGGGTGTTCTAAAAATGTTTGTTTTACAAATTTTAAAGTTTTTATAGTAATAATCTCTGTACTTAAGATTGAACATTAAAACGTAGAAAAAGTACGAAAAGACTGTCGCTGCTGTGGGAATCGAACCCACGTCTTCGGTATTTGCGGCCTGACGCTCTAGCTGGAAAGAATATAACAATAGATGCGCCGAGCATTGCTTCAAATGCTAAATAACAATGTAGAAAGAAGGCGTTAAGATTTTCGTCGCTGTGGCTTTCAGCCGTTTAGCTCAGTGGCTAGAGGGTCAGGCGGCAAATGCCGAAGACGTGGGTTCGATTCCCACAGCGGCGACAATCTTTTCGTACTTTTTCTACATGTTTTAATGTTTGTTTTGTAAAGTTTAATAACTCGGTAAATATTGATTGATGCTTAAAGAATGTAAATGCTTAACACAATTTTAAAAAGTTATCCTCTATATGTGGGTTCATTTATTGTCGCGTTTGTAACGACACGCTGTATAGCATCCGTAATTGCTGCTGCTGAATAGGCGGACGCGATACAGAATTACTCCGGCGTGAAGTGATCAATAAGACTGGCATTAAATAGAAATATTTGCACTTCTGGGTGCTCACGCACCACATAAGGTGGCTCTAGGAGTGAGAAAATTGGAGAACCACCATGTTAACAACAACGCCTCTGCAAATGCCTAGACTGTCACGAATCATCAATGAAGCGCTTACCGTTAGGACACGTGCAAACCGCAAGATGGCGACGTGCCATGCAGACGGCCCCAGAACCACACTGCGTGTTTCCTAGACATGGATCCACGCACTGGTAGCCCACGCACGCCAAATGATCGGCACATTGGGAGTCCAGCTCGCATTCACCCTGAAAACATCACACTAATATCGAAAAACGCAAATAACTATTTGAATTTTGGCTCCTACTACACGTTGTACTATAAGTATCCCAAAAAATAATCGGTATTTTAAAAATGTGATTTTTTTGTGAATAAATTTTCAGCGCTTCGGGATTTGAACCTGCATCTTCAGGGCTAATGCGCCGGAACACGTACCAACTGAGTTAAGCAGCCGATATCTAGACTACAAGAGTAGTTGGCTAGATCGTCTAGGCGCGTCAACCCGGAAGACTGACGACGCGTTGACCACGCCAAAACTTCTCTATTTTCAACTCCTCCTTAACAGTTAGTAATGTTCGCGTAATAACGCTTTTCTTCTTGTAATACAAGAAATCATTATTCGAAATGCGTGTTGTTTAACTGTGTACGCGTAAGGAAAAGATTTATACCCTCTCGCAGGAGACCAGAGCGTTTCCGATGTAGCCAGTAGGGCAGGTGCAGACAGGTCGCTCAGCGCCGGTGCGGTCGTGGCCGGGGGTGCACTTGGCGTTTGCACCGCAGGGATTCGGCTCGCATAAATCTCCTTGTGAATAACAATTATAATCATTTATTAAAATTAATAAGATACAGAAACAGATGAAAACAGAAACAAATAATATATAGATAGATTATGGTGGATTGACAGTTGAAGGTGTTTCACTTGTGTAATCAACCCTCCACCCGATAACGTAATCTTATAAATAAATGAACATAATTACATCAAAACAAAATGTAAAACCTTTTATCATCATTGTATACCTTCATTTAGAAGAATAAAATGAAACAGATTATTTTTTATTTATTTATGCTTTTTAAAAAAGGTAACTAACCAACCTTATACAAAAGACAAAGGCTACAAGGGGTGGGTTTAATGCCCTAAAGCATTATACCCGTCAATCCAGGACATGGCGCGAGCTTATCTTAAGTTCAGCAAGGGAGGCCAAAATAACACAATGTATTAGGTTACGAAAAGGGAGAAAAAATATATGTGATATACATATAAATGTACCGAATATGTATAAAAAAACATTTAAATTAATATACTAATAACCATTCTACACGCGAAGGGACATATTTCGCCTTTATAATATTACTAGCGACCCGTCCCAGCTTCGCACGGATGCAATGTATTATATAAACTCTCCTCTTGAATCACTCTATCTAGTAAAAAAAACTACATCAAGATCCGTTCCGTAGTTTTAAAGATCTAAGCATACATAGGAACAGACAGACAGCGGGTCGACTTTGTTTTATACTATGTAGTGGAGTAACAAACGAATGATATTCTGAAACTTCTAGAACTATCATTCACTCACGCGCTTCGAAGGGTCGGCAGAAGGTGAACGGATCGCCGGTCATGTTCCGCGGGCAGGAGCAGACGGGGGTCAGACCGCGCAGATTGCAGTCTGCGTTGACGCCGCAAGCGTTCGTGCAGGGGTTCACGCACGCGTTGTACACGCACGCGGGCTTGTAGCTCGGGCACTGGCTGTCAGACTCGCATTCGGCGGTGCAGATGCGGTACGGGTCGCCGAAGTAGCCCTGAGTATTTAATGGTTTGGCTAAACGCAATCCATGCATCCAACAATTATGGTATTGCTTGAATGTTAGGTCGTAATTGGCTGGCTCAAATATCATTTAACATAAGTCAAATATCATTTAACGTAAGGTTATGTTGAATTTTGCATAGTACAATCCCTGGATTTGTTAAATTTGGATTTATCCACGCTCTGGATATGGGTTTCCTTGTCTTGATATAGCAACACTTGTTACGACATGACTGCTCTATATTTTCTTACGGGAGAAGACAATAAAACAGCAAACGAATCACCTGGTAGTAAGTGACTTCAACAACGACAGTACCACCAATATTGAGGTTGCTTTGCTAATCTTTCAGTAGGTGAGCTTCATTCGCCGGCGAGGTGACCCATTCTTGCAGGAGCTAGTAAGCTGCGACAGACTCTTGCACTGTAAAATAGAATCTTTAGCCTGAAGTATAGAGTGCAAATTGCTCACCCGAGGGCACTTGCAGATTGCACGGTGCGCTGAAACTGTCTCGCAGTCCGCGTTCACGCCGCAGTCGCTGCAGGGACTTGTGCACTTGAAGTCGCGGCACGACTGTTGCGCGCCGCAGTCGCTGTCCGCTTCGCACTCGTGCGTGCATCCCGAGAGTGGGCTGCCCTGGAAGTGACAAATGTGCTTGACACCCGTTTCTGAACCGTCGTCCCATCAAAATCAAATGTCAAAGTTGATACTCTTTATTGAGAAGAAGAAGTTTATTAGTAGGTACATATTTTTTATGTAAAATCTACGTCACTCCATGATGCCTACATAAAAGTCTGTTTCTAAAAGTAGCACTATTTCTGGAACCGCTTAAAAATATACCACTTACTCTGAATCCAGGGAGGCAGGTACAAATAGCCTGGTTATTGGCTACGTGGCATTTTGTGTTTACGCCGCATGGAGATGGGTGGCAAGCCTCCTCTGAAAAAAATAATGTGTAGGGACTAGGGATGAAAGTTTTGTTCCTCTTTTTTATAGTTTTAAAATTTTACAGCGAATATCACAAAACCAAATGAAAATAAACATGAACTAGATAGTGTGGCACGGTAGATTGTATTAACCGACACCTTACAATAACTTGCGTCAAAGATAATCAGGAAAAAGAGTTAAAAAAAAATAAACGCGATAAATCCGTAAAAATTAGTTCAATTTATAAGAGTTATATGAACTAGTTGCAGAAATTAAAAAAAATTACTAAAGGTATGTACCTGGATCGGCGATTCTGCAAGCCGTGAAGGGATTTCCGGTGTAGCCCGGGGGACATGTGCACACAGGCACATGTTGACGAACCTAAGATAAATATTGAAATAAAAATTGAGATATTTCTTATTTTACTGTCGTAGGGCCAAGTAACTGTTTCTGCAGTTGCACGAATGGGCAGGCGCGTCCGGGCAGATACTACGGCCTCATGAAGCAGGCATGAAGTGGCAGTATTAACTTTCGCGTTTCGTCTGGTGAGTGAGATAATCGGAGTAAGTCTGCAAGCTCCTAGGTGTTGTTTTTCCCAGGCTTTGTTGCAAAAACCATAGTTTCTACTGTACTTACATGCAGGGAGACTTTTAAAGTTGCCCAAATTTAGGTAGGAGGTTCAGACTCGGTAGTATAATCGTTTATTGAAATAAAAACAAACTTTTTTTTCCTAAAAATTTACGAGTGATTTAAAATATTTATCATTTTTTATACAGCGTGTCGTTACCACCGCGACAATAAATGAACACACATATAGAGGATAACTTTTTAAAATTGTATTAAACATTTCCATTCTTTAAATATCAATATTTACCGAGTTATTAAATTTGCCAAAACAAATCATTTTAGAACATCCTTACGTATAAAACTGTAACATAAAGTTCATTTGTAAAGGTCACAAAGCATGTGAATGGTTAAATGAATTTGAAAGAGACAAAACTTTTTAGAGAGATTTATAGTGCGACGCTGCGGCAACGAATGATCAAGTGTCTGAATGTATGAATCAGTCAGTTGTAGTTCTATAGGTTACAAATTTGGTTTCTTTATTTAATTAGTTTAGTTAAAAAAAATATTTTTTTATTCATCGATTTTTTAACGTTTTATATTTTTTATGATTATGGGCAAGTAGCGTTAGACGTTTGTTTTAATTATTGCCGCGATTGTAACGACACGCTGTATAAAATTATTTATGTCTACAATTTAATTTAAAAAAATGGATAAACTTAGAAAAGCCTCCCTGCATACAATGTAAACTAAGAAAGATACTTATATTCGCGGTATTGGCCAATGACTGTATTAATTGGTATTACTTCCTCCTGGAACGTGTGTGTACCTTGTGTATGCGTGTTTCGCCAAGTTCGAAGGCTAGGTCTAACTAATTGGTTATGTATGTAAGCACTGTGTGGATATATTGTTGTCTAGTGGGGCTCCTGATGGGTCCAACGTACATATTTCCTCGACCGGGGCGAGGTAACACGGCGTGGGAAACGTTTTTAAATGGGCGCCTTTATGTCGGATTGTTAATTCGTAGCTTTTAGTACCGTAGTGTTCGGATGGTTTTCGGCTATATCGATAAAACGTGTAGTCATTGCTATCTTGTAATCGTCGTTAGCTTATCTTATCGTGTAGCTTAAAGTTTTGGTGCAGTGTCGGGTGTCTGCAATCGCTATGCAGTTCACGTAGCATCGGTTGCTAGCCGAATGCAGTATGTTTTTCATATTTACATCGCAGTTGGCGTTGACACCGCAGGCGCCTTCGCAGGGGTTCACGCAGTGCTGGTTAACGCACGTCTGGTGTCCACGACACTCTTCATTGCCTGAAATATTCATCGTGGTTATTAGCCACATTCTTGTATTTGTTTAAAGAAAGATGAACAAACGGACAAGCTCTTCAAGATACGGCAATATTATAATGGGGTACGTAAGTTTAGAGAATATTGAAATTGAGCCTTCAATTAACCTAAATTGTAGGATAAAATGCAAAAATGTCACAATGCCAGTCACCAAGTGACTATAGTATGGGCATTGTGTAACCCATTTTGCCAATGTAGAGGAGTTTTTAAGTATATAGTACTCTTTCTGTTTGTGTTTTTTCATTTTTCTCTTCCATATCTATTGCCTAGGTTTTAATACAGTGTTATACGAGCATAATTCATATGCTGTCAAGTCGTAAGTAATTCTCGTAAAAGTACATTGGATTTCTGTCCAAAGTCTACCGAGTTCAGAATATAATAATATAAATAATATAAACTACACTTAATGGTTAATCTGAAAATTAGTAATGTAGAGTATTTAAATGAAGTCATTAAGTTTAATGGTGTAACTTAAACAATAATTATATCAAACATTATATTAATTTCGTGTATATAAATATATCAGTCAGATGCAAGCAGAAAAATATGTCTTCATTGCCACTATATGAAAAATTTTACCACTCTTGGCGCGTGAGAGCCTTAAGATATAACAATAACATTTCATCTGTCTTATTCATCACTATATTCATTCTTTATAGATGTCCATAAACCAACTGAGGTATTGACTGTCTAGGACAACATGTTTCAGTAGATACTTGTCATGTGACGAATTATAATGCGGAAGCATACACGACAAGACCCACGCGTAAATTAGTCATGTTCTAGCCTTTGTGCTAAATTCCAGCAATATTGAAATATATAAAAGTTTAATTAACATTTTTTTTAATGGTTTAGCACAATGGATTGTGTTCAAGAACCTTACGATGTCTATTCCTAAGTGTTCTCCCTAATTCGTTCTTCTTTCAACCGAACCTTATTCGAACCATATTATTCATACTATTTTATATTAAACACAGATTAGGAGAGCTCATATCCTTTATTACAACGGCCTTAGACCTTTGTATAAAGTGCCAAAGCAAATAGTTTGAATCACTCGCTTATACGTGAAACAGTGAGTTTTGGCATTGGCATAAGTACGTGACGAAAATTCCAACTCTTTATTTTGAATAATTTATTCGCGTATAACTACTAAGCCACAACTGCTTAGAGATTTCAATATCGTTGTCAGATCCACTATTTAAGTCAGCATTTCAAAAGTAGTATTTTCAAAAAAAAGTTTCTTTCGTTTCGTTCTGTGGACTTGTGGATCTTCTAGTCCCACGGATTTAAACTATGCTTATCTTGCTACATAGATAATAAGTTTTTTCCTTCTGTGGACTTGTGGATCTCCCACGGATTTAAACTATGCTTATCCCGCTACATAGATAATAAGTTTTTATTCCGTTACATCATGTCGACTGAAAGTATCCTCACACCTTTGTGAGGCCGTCATACCTTCATTGGTTCTTCTTAGCGATATAAACTGGAAGTGTGTATAAATCTGCGATTTGTCTGGTGTTTGAGGTAACCAGAGGCTTGAGATCTTTCAGATACACCTCTGAAAAGGTGTTACTTTACTTCAACTGTAGACTCCTTGTAAGATACTCACTGACGCACTCAATCTTGATGCACTGAGATAGCGGATCACCCGAGTAGCTCGGGAGGCAGGCGCAGACGGGCCTCACGCTGCCGTGGGTACAATGGGCACCCACCCCGCACGTGTGGGGTCCACACTTCACCAGCTCGTCGGAGATCGAGCGTCCGTGCTCGTATAAATTACGCCCGTAATAACCCCTCGGCGAGTAGTTGTAGTACCTTTGCGCTAAGGAAAAAAAGGGTGAATAGAAACCAACGCAAAGGATAGGTAGGTAAGTTTCATAAAGTTAGAATTTGAGAAAGCCTTTGTCATGGAATGATGAATAAACATGAAGATTTGATATCTAAATTCTTTGAAACAGTCACTAACAACTCCAAACTTTTTAGGCATCAAATCACATCCATTCAATTATTGTAGGGACATAACTTAAAATTTAAAAAATATTAAACGTGTGGTTTGATATCAAATTATTCTCTCGATCATATCCAATGAAATAATTATTTTTTCCAACAAGAAAATTAGAAAAATTGCTCGATCATTGAAGCTTTAAAATATACGAATGACATATTTTCGCGCTTTATTGGAAGATTCAATCTATACGTATGCACATACGTTGTCACGTACGATTAGAATATTATAAAAAAATAATCGAGTAAAATAGAGTAACAAAAATAATTTAATATATTTACTAGATTTATAAATAAAGTTATTAATCATGTCATTAATTAAACACACAGCCTACATATTAACTATAACAATGACCTTGACTAGATCCTTATAAGCAAGCATGATATAATAAAGTTACCGCCCACTAACGCTGTTACGGACCTAACAGCTAACAGGTATCCCTGTATTGTTTCATTATCAAGGTATGATCAACAATAATTTCGTGATCAATAATCACAAAGAACAGATTAAGTTTGTTCCATTTTTAAACTAAATCTCTTTGAATGACTAACGAGTAATAAAGCGAAACTGCTGAATGCTTAATTCAATAATACTTTTACTTCTAGTAACTTTTGGTAGTTTTGGTAGTTAACTTCTGCATGGCTCATCCATACGCAGAAAACTCTAGGAATCCTGGAATGCTGCTTTTATAGAATTAAATATCTAAATATTAAAATGAGTGTGCGAAATACAGTAAAATTAAATAATATTTATATTAGAAATAGATGAACGCTTTAAGGAATTATCTAATTCACAACACTGTTAGGTTGAACATAACAAGTATAGAAACTTAGACTTACCATCAACGCCCCGTTGAAGGAAGGCAAAAAGCACCAAGGGTGCTAGAAAGAGCAACTTGCCCTCCATCTATAAAATAAATTACGACTTCTCAATACAATCTTTAATGTCATTTCTTTTTTTTTTTTTTTTTTCATTTCATTAATTCGTGTTCTTTTTGTTTTTACACTTACATTATGTGGAACTAATAGTTCAGTGTCCGAGCGTTCACTTTAAATTTAATGTATTCAAGTAACCCGAGTAAAAAAAAAAGAGTAAATCACGGTGCATGGCACCTATGAACTTATTAATAAAAAAATTAAATTGAATTTTCTAAGTAATAATAAAAAATATTTTGAACATATATATGTGAAGCCCTCATACCCTGTGCACAGGCAGGCCTCTGCCCAGCAGTTGGACGTATATAGGCTATTACTAAGACTCTACTGTCTGTCTGTCCGTCTGTCAACGGGCTGTATTTCATGAACCGTGATATCTGTAGGAAAAAGCAAGCAGGTGGTTCACCAATTGTTATTCACTTAACAATTTTGTGAGTCCGATTAAGTCCACTATAATACTTCCACTTCACGTCGGTCTTCCTTGAGCATGTGGTACTTCAAACTGTATCACTGTGACTTGACACTGAGGTCAATTTATTGAAAAAAAAAATTATATTTGCTACATATGTTAATGTTCGATAAAGTTTATTTTACAGAGATTAACTTTTGTTTCAACTTGAAAATTAGGAGTTTACTTTTACATCTGGTTAGTGTTTCAATAATATCGAATTAAAGACATTGTCTATGTCTATAAAATTACGCCTGGATATTCGGAAAAATGTGCTTTGCTAATTAATTTCAAAAACCCGCAATCAAGCAAACTTTAGTACGCCATACAGGGTTTTGAGTCATGTATTATTGTTCTCACACACATGACGTAACCGGTTCATTGAAATGACTTTTAGGTCAATGTTAGGTACGTCAAAAACGTTTATTTTTTAAAACGAAAATTTCTCTTGAATCTTTACAATTGCTAAAAATAATTCAAGTACGTAGATAAAAATGTATCCCATGTTCACATAAAATATGTTTATGTATAATATTGTTACTAAAAAGCTTGCCCTGCTCGAAATTCTTAAGGTATACTGGGTGTAAAACCTAATTATAATATGTCATTTGATAACACAATTGGCGTAGTGGATAGTGAATCTGTCTTGTGCGCCAGAGGGCGTGGGTGGTGGGTTCGATCCACACAACTGAAAAATATTATGTGATGAACTTAGTGTTTTTCTATAATACAAATTTATTTACGAAATGATATAACGTTTAAGTTTGTTTATCAATTACCTAGAAAAAAAAAAAAAAAAAAAAAAAAAAAAAAAAAGCCAGCTTTGCTAAGATAATGTTGTGTAAAAATATATCCAGAAATATTTCAAAATCTATCAAATGTAATAACAGAAACCTTCAAAAGAAAAATGTAAGTAAGCATAATCATGGCATTATGGCGTTTGTTTCACAGGGTTAAAGGTATACACTAATAAAACGTGTTTAAAATCGATCCCGTTGTTCCAGTGATTACCTATTATTTACATACTAAATTAACCCAAACACACGTGCAATTACAAATAAGTTATTATCTCTACATGACCGCTAGTAATGAACAATAAAGTATTTTAAAATTCGAAGTATTAAAATAATGAGGTCCTATTTTGACTCTACTTTAATAAGCAAAACAGTAATCATTCAACAGTAAAAATTTAAGAATCAAACCTCACTGCACTTTCCACCACTTTTTGCACACAGGTTTTATATGAACAGTTTTTATCGTTCTATGAAGTAAAACTTACATCTGTTCGTTAACGTGAATCGAAGAGGAAAACATGGTCGCAAGGCTCGACTGGCATCCTTATACTGGCTCTGGGCGCCTACGCTCAAGCTAATACTTCCGAAATAAGTGAATCAACATTTATAACTGGTTCATTTTTTAATTATGCCATTGGAAGAATATAAAACCTTTTTAATTTTTTATCTTAAGTATATAACACTTAAATTATCTGGCAGACGTTATTATGCACTAAAAGTAAATTTTGCAAACGATAGTTTACGTCAATGAATTCTCATTTTCTGTCGCTCCTAATATGGAGCAGCAATAGTTCGTGAGTGTTATGCGATTTTAACAGAAATGATGTCATTATAACTTTTTCGTGATATCACGTAATCGGATCGGATCAGGGATTTTGGATTTCAAATTATAAACTTAATGTAAATTTTAATTTTGGTGTATTTCAGAAAATATCAAAAATGTGAATATCGAAACTTCATTTAACGTTACATTATTTTTGAATTAATATATTATATTTTCTTTTTGAATAAGTATATTAATAGCTCTTCCGCGGGGTGTCCAGAAGTAATAGCATCCACTTATTTGTACATCTCAAGGAGGAAACTAACGGAATAATCAGGAACTTGAGCAGCAGCGGTGTTCCGTGCTGAATCGTCTATAACTCTTACGACGCCTGCCAAGCGTGGGTATTTTGAGAGATACAATTCAGCCATGTCCAGTCCCAGGTTGTTCTGCTATTTCTGGCCTTGGTGCAGGCAAGGTAACGTCGAGCAGGGCGTGCCAAGAAGCTTTGGCAGATGACACACACTGTCGGAACGCTCAGGACGGTCGGAAAGACTACCGAGCCACGGGAGTAATTGAGCAAGTTGAAATTGGATACATTGGGATTAGCACAAGACAGCCAGGATTTTCTTTTGTGTGCAAAAGTTGGCAAGTGAGTAAGCGGTACACTTGATGTTAATTGATTACCACCGTCTATCACAATACTTGAGAGGTTGTAAATGCATTGATAACCTTTTAAAAACTGGGCCCCGGTTACCTCACCAACCATACGAAACACGAAATTATTACAATCACTTCCACTTCGGGCTCGGTGTTCTGTGAGGCCGCGGTACTTTCCCGGAAGAACCTGCCCATTCGTGCAACAGCAGAAGTTGCTTCGCCCTACCACAGTAAGGTACGGTCATCGTAGTTTCCGGCAACATTCACAGTAGTAGGGACACGCAGCAGCCTCCGCTCTTGCACGAATGGGCAGACTTGTCCGGGTAAGTTCCACGACCTCACAGAAGACCGGCGTAAAGTTGAACTATTATAAGTACTTTCGCGTTTCGTCTGGTCATTGAGGTAGCCGGAGCCCAATTTTCAAAATGTTGTCAACACATATGCAACCCTCGGGCGTAGCAGATGTCCATGGACGGCGGTATTCACCTAAAGTCAGGTGAACCACCTGCTCGTTTGGCAACATCTCAATAAAGAAAAAATGGCCTGCTCTGACGCAGGCTTTAGAGATCGCGGCTCCACACTCCGTCGTACCATAATCGTACCACGCAGTTTTATTTAGGTAAAATTTGATTGTAATATTAACTAATCTCATATTTGGTTTAACACTTTATACAAAATTAATGGAAAATCATTTAGATTTATTGCACAAAATTTTATAGAATTATTATATATTAAACCAAATAACCTCTGTTTTGTACCATGCACAATTTAATTCAAGCTTGTCAATATTATTCCAAAATTTGTTCTTATTCTATTTAACTAACTTCGTAGAATATACTAAATCTAATATATAAAATTTACGGTGTTTGTAATTGAACTGCTCCGAAACGGCTCGACCGATTTTCGTGAAATATATAATAATGTGTGCATATCGGCCAGGGTGGAAAATCGGACAACATCTATTTTTCATCCCCCTAAATGTTAAGGGTGGTCCATCCCCAAACATTTTTTTTTTACCCTACAAATAGTTTATATGGCAAAACAACGTTTGCCGGGACAGCTAGTTATTAATATAAGTCTCGAACCCAACAGGCCAGGCTCACTCTAACTAATGCCATATCTCGCCACTCACATAGCGACATCTATAATTAGTTGGAACTAAGATATTGACCAATCAGAACCAAAGTTGACATGTCAATTGACATATAGATTTAAATTATTATTTCGTTTATACTTTTTTACTTAGCTGTAAAATCAGACATTTAAAAAATCATCACAATAGATATATAATTTTTGGGAAACACCAATCGGTTTCCGTGTTTTAATTTACAAAAGATTGTCGGTCTCAAAGTAAATATTGTGTGCAGATGACCAAACAGGAAATTGCTTTCACCGAATACGCCGAACTCACATGGGATTCCAACAGCATAGACGTATTACGCCATCTAGAACCATACTTTAACTTTTTCATTCGTTTTGTGAGGACGTGGCGAACAAGCAAGTGTTTCAATCCACAACCACAACGCTCCTGGGGCTACAGACGCATTCCCGATCTTTAGGCACTGCTTACAGTTAATTTTTATGGTACTTATACATATTTACACATGTTATTTATACATATTTAACACCAAATTATATTTAGTTTTAAATCATTCAGCGAATACTCGGAAACTATTTTTTAGCCTGTCCTAAGGTGATAAAGAATAATATTTGTTTTACATTTCCCTACTTCGTACATTAATATATAAAATATTTAAGATTCCCAAAAAAACTCTTTAAAACAACAACATTTATAAAATTTTAAGTGGTATCAATGGAAATCAAAACGTTTAATGATGAATAAAATTACAATAAATAAGGTATCACAATATTAATCGTCCTATTTCTATATAGGGAGCAACCTGCTGACTATAAAACCTTTATTCGGCTTGAAGAAGATCTTTTTCGGGCAACAAACTAATTATGAATATTAAATATCAAATTTTGAATAACATTATGGTTCGCGGAATAGGAACTCTTTTTTTTTGCAGCTAGCAAATCAGTGGTCTTCGCTCCACATATAATTATGTAAGGCGACAGATGATATAAACCACCTACTACTGTATTAATCAATGTCATTCACAGAAAACTCACTATGAGAAAATCGAACAAAGATGAGAAAATCGAAGCAAACAAACCATGGTCATCTAAAATTTTTGAAGGGTTGCAGATGCGTTGATAACCTTTAAAAAACTGGGCCCCCGGACGCGAAAGTATAAAACTGATATTTCGTTAGTTAGTCTTCTGTGCAGCCGTGATATTTCCCCGTAAAAGCCTGCCCAATTGTACAACAGCAGAAGCTGCCGCGTGGCCCTACCACAGTAAAAAATAAACCATTTATTTTAAGTGATATTTTATATTAGATAATGTTATTATTGTTAGCCTATTTATGCGTTTATATTTTATATTGACTAGAAAATTAGTCTTACTTTGTAAACGATTATAATATTTTCGATTAATTATAAATTTATGTTCGATAAAACTTTTGTAAAATAGCGACATTATATCTTGGAAATATGGCAACATTGAAATGTAAATTAAGATCCGATATTTAATTTATTTTCATAAAGACTTAACTAAAGCTGTAATTAATTGTCACAAATATTGTAAGAAATATTAAACTAATTTATTATGTATTTTAAAAACAGTACTCATAACACAATAAGAATTAAGACGTGTGAATGATGCGTTCCGGGTACTGCCAACAGCGGTACAAGGAACAGATGCGCTCTTGGCACGGTCGTCGGAAAGAAAAGACATCTAATTAGCGAAATATTGTAATAAAATTATAAGAAGAACTTAAGGACTACTTAATTCAATGTTTAAAACCTATACTTCTGAAGTTATCCTATAGCTTCAGAAGTGGGATCAAAGAAAACTAGTATTGTTTTCAATCTACGCCTACAAAGAAAACGTAAGTAATTTGTAAAGTTTTATATATTATACTTTTTTATCTCTACTTTCTGACTTTACTTTGGATTCATAAAGTTTATCAAATCATAAGTTACTATAATGAAATCAGAAGTTGATAAAACATTATAGAAGTAGTAGTTAACATTAAAGAAGAATAAAACATTCATCACATGCAGCGCGCAATAATTAAACTCATGTTTATGACATAATGGGATCGTAATGGAAAAAGTGTACAATGTTATTTTTTTTTTAATTTACACCGTTATAAATTGTTTTGAGTTTTCTTTTTCCCTCTCTTTTTTTTTACTGTCGTACTCTGAGTAAGTATTGAAGTGAGTACTATCGAGGTTTGAAGAATCAACGCTCATAAAAAAAAATATATATAAGCAAATTCTTTTTAAAAATCAAAAGAGAAAATTATTTTTTTTTTTAATTAAAAGAGCATTGTAGAAAATTGTGAAACAATTTAAACTTTTAGTATGCTTAATTTTAATTTAACCGAAATTCCCTTTTACATTGATATACGATTGTGTTGTTTTTGTTTATTGAGTTTTAGTTTTGTTTTAGTTTGTTGAGCATCGAATTAATTCGTGCCTAAAAGCTAATCTATAGCTGTAAGCCGGAATTCGTTCACGAATTTTAAGTAGTTATTGCTTGCCGTATTCCTCCCTGCACTGTAAGTCGCTCGGAGTGTACTTTAGACGATACTTTTGCGCAAGCTCGCCTATTTCTAGTGTTTTATTATTTAAGCCGCCGTATATACTCAATACTCGATCGTAGGGAACGACAAAGCTCGTGAAATACAAACATTACACTAGTTAGAGCGGTACGGCAAGCAATGCACAATATCAGATTTTTAAACATATTTTATGAACAAGCTAAGTAATTTTTAATCTTAAGAGCATGCAAAAGAACTCTGTTTCAGTTAAATACTAATCATGGTATCAACGATGTCTTTAAAATTTGTTTATTTAGCCTTGAGCTGGAGAGCATTCGCACTTAAGCACGTAATAGTTTTAGTTAAATGTGTTTGTGTAGGTAAACTATTTGTGTCGGAATAACTGCGAGAGAAAGTTTTACTTAATTTCCTTCGTGTTCTAAAATTTAGAAAAGATTTGTTTTGTTATGGTCGTTGAGGGATGTTTTAATGGACTCACTGGTGTTAAAAACCTTTACTAAATAAATAAACAATAATATCCTTCTATCATATATTCTTTAATTAAATTCTAAACTTAGTTATAAAACAAAAAAAACGGAATACGTTGTGAATTTCCCTTCACAAATTTAATATCTTGAGATACATAATTGAGATACATAATAAATACAGAAATAACACCTGTTGAATAGATAAATATACACAATACCGAATAATATTGAAACCTACGATATCGTCGTGTAGTTAGTGCCTAAAAACGTGTATAGGAGATATATAAGATTCAATAATCTAAGGTGGATACGCGAAAGTAAAATATCTAGATATTAAAATACATAGTTTCGAAATCAGGAAAAATGTTGGAAACCGAAATCTTATCCAGATACGGTTCTCGGTGGATATTTATAGTTATGAGCTCTGCAAAGAACTTTATTTTGAAAATGGATATAAGCTAAATATTCGGAAGGTAAAAATATTAAGATAAACAATAGATACATAAATATAGCTAAAGAACTTAAAGGGGCTTAGTTTTCGGATGATTTTTTTTATAATTGGTGTAGTTCTATAAAGAAACGTGATGTGTTAAAAAAAAATAAAAAAAAAAAGCTGTTGGACACTTCTGAAAATGACTTTTATTGTTTGAAACAATATAAGTTATATATGAATATTTCCGAATGAAAACTATTCGATACCACATGGGACTGCTACGTAAGGAGCTAATGACGCGTCTCGAACAAATTTGATCCCCGGTGTCGGCACCAATGAAACCTTCACTGATACCCTCGTCATATAGGCGACCTTTGTCCAGCAGTGAGACATTTATCGGTAGTTACTTTACTTTCACTTTTAACATAAATTAGTATTCGTTAATAGACAACGTACGAAAGTTACATTTTGTTCAAACCATGACATTTTCCTTACGTAATAATTTTTATACTAGTCATAACTTCTAGACAAAAGGGTCTGATCTGAATAATTTAAAGTGGAGTATACACGTATATAATCACCCTACATTATTGAACCATTAAAATGGATAAGGAAATGTGTATATCGTGATACCATTATCACCACTATTCGATTCCACCCGAATTTAACTTAAAAATTTAAACAAAAGCTGTTATTGCGAAACTTTTTGTGAGTAATCATGAATAAAATACTATCTTATATATCGTTAATACTTTTCGCAACGCATGCGAAATAATGTCTTTTATAGGTAACATTTTGACATCCTGGGTTACATAGTTCCATTTTAGGTAGAGATCTCACAGTCTTGTTACTCGGTAAAGTTGTAGCTTTCTAATGGTAAACCAATTTTTGAAATCTGTCTAGTATTTTTTAAGTTTATTCGTTACTTACTAAAATACAAAAATACAAATTCTTTCCTCTTTATAATAAAAAAAAATAATAATAATAATATATATATGTTTATTTTTATCCATAATATTTATTTTATATATGCAATATATATCTATATCTTTATTTTTATTTTTATTTATAAACCCAACCAGACGAGAAAACAAATGAATATCCCCCCAATAATAATAATAATATATTGAGTGTGGATTAAGTTGGTATTTGTCAGTTTCAGCTTTCAATGGAACGAGAGGAAGTGGCTATGCCCAGGAATGAAACGAGAGGAAATGGAATGAGAAGACGTGCCCAGGTGTGGGCCAGGGTCAAGACCGAAACGGTCCATGTACGAGGACTGGGATCGAGACCGAAGCGTGTCCAGGTACGAGGACCAGGGTCGAGACCGATGAGTGCCCAGGTGTGGGCCAGGGTCGAGACCGAAACGGACCAGCTACGAGGACGTGGGTCGAGACCGAAGCGTGTGCAGGTACGGGGACCAGGGTCGAGATCAATGGGAGCCCAGGTGTGGGCCAGGGTCGAGGCCGAAACGGTCCAGGTACGAGGACTAGGGTCGAGAACGAAGCGTGTCCAGGTACGAGGACCAGGGTCGAGACCGATGAGTGCCCAGGTGTGTGGGCCAGGGTCGAGACCGAAACGGACCAGCTACGAGGACGTGGGTCGAGACCGAAGCGTGTGCAGGTACGGGGACCAGGGTCGAGATCAATGGGAGCCCAGGTGTGGGCCAGGGTCGAGGCCGAAACGGTCCAGGTACGAGGACTAGGGTCGAGACCGAAGCGTGTCCAGGTACGAGGACCAGGGTCGAGACCGATGAGTGCCCAGGTGTGGGCCAGGGTCGAGACCGAAACGGACCAGCTACGAGGACGTGGGTCGAGACCGAAGCGTGTGCAGGTACGGGGACCAGGGTCGAGATCAATGGGAGCCCAGGTGTGGGCCAGGGTCGAGACCGAAACGGTCCAGGTACGAGGACTAGGGTCGAGACCGAAGCGTGTCCAGGTACGAGGACCAGGGTCGAGACCGATGAGTGCCCAGGTGTGGGCCAGGGTCGAGACCGAAAGGGTCCAGGTACGAGGACTGGGGTCGAGACTGAAGCATGTCCAGGTACGAGGACCAGGGTCGAGACCGAAGAATGCCCAGGTGTAAGTCCAGGGTCAAGACCGAAACGTGTCCAGGTACGAGGACCAGGATCGAGATCGAAGCGTGTTCAGGTACGAGGACCAGGATCGAGATCGAAGCGTGTTCAGGTACGAGGACTGGGATCGAGATCGAAGCGTGTTCAGGTACGAGGACCGGGATCGAGATCGAAGCGTGTTCAAGTACGAGGACTGGGATCGAGATCGAAGCCTGTTCAGGGACGAAGACCAGGATCGAGATTAAGCGTGTCCAGGTACGAGGACGAAGGTCGAGGCCGAACCGTGTCCATGTATGAGGACCACGGTCGAAATCAGAGTGCGTCCAGGTACGAGTGCCAGGGTCAAGATCGACGTGTGCTCAGGTGTGAGAGCCATGGTCGAGATCGAAGCATGCCCAGGTGCCAGGAGACGCGTAAAGACCAAAGTGTGCCAAGGAGGTGCACAAGACGAAAGAGGTATGAGGGACAGGTCAGAAGAGACAA